ATACGATCAATGGGCATTTTCCAATACAAACGGAGTATGGCTCCCCAGATCTGCGATGAGCTCACTTGGAGGAAGCTCATAGCGGAGGAAGTCCTTGTACGGTAAGCACCTATAATATAGGCCACTGTCAAAGACATTTATTGAGGCAACTTCAGAGTTTCCTGTTGGGCTTTCCTCGCGGACGGATTTCTCACGGTCTGTTTTAACAACCATCCTGCATTGTCTATCTTCGAGATGGATTGTGACTTTCCCTGGAACTCTGCACTATTCGAGGCCGAAAGTACAGCTGCGTTCAACGAGCTTGTGGCTTCGGACAACGGAGGACGGACCTCACTTCCAACCTTAAGACAATTCATCACCCGCCTACTCGACACGGATATTGGTGAGTTGGTAGCATGGAGCCGATCACTTGCAGCAGAACACACCCTAGTGTTGATGTACGGTATGTGTAATGCCTGTTTGGCCCCTTGAGATGACAGCCTCGCTGATAAGATGTGGGATCAGCGATGCACTCCCTAGCATTTCAGGCAAGGACCGGCTTACTCGGATGGATCTCACCAAACGCTATCAAGCTCGCTGCGGACAATTGGAAACGGATTTGGGATTCAGTTGGTGGCATTTTCGACAAAGAGAAGACACAAAGTCTGGGCTATCCCAAACATGCAGAAGAGCTTTGGTGGCTTCTAAATGCTACGCTCGACCGAGCCGCTGGCCGGGACAAGAGCCTTTGCTACCTAGACACCGCAGCTACTGACGACTTGGGCAAGCTGAATGAGTTTATTCATAATGTTGCGGCGGAAGAAGGAACACCGTGATTGGTGTTCATATTAATAATTACAGTACTCATATCATACATCTATGTACAGCATACAATCAAGCCCATACATCCCGGAAACGCCTCGATGGTTTGGATTCCAGCTCCTCTGGACCATCTTCTCCGACATAATATCTCTTACTCGTTCTTATGCCTCAGTTCGTCGCCCTTGGCTTTGCGATATGTGCCACCCAATCGGTCCCAGAACGTGGTGAATTGCCCATAATTATAGTTGAAGTACAGATGATGCAGCGTGTGACACTCGGGTCCGTTGATCACGGCAGAACGTGAGAGGCATTCAGCATCGTCTAATCAGGTTGTCAGCTGTGGTCGTGGCTTTTAACAGCAAGGGAGGGGGGACTTACGGATCGCGAGGGTCCACAAGGTTACAAAGACAAAAAGCCCCAGGTAAGCCCACTTCTGCAGAGGGAACAGCAGTGGGAAGATGTGGTAGGGCAGACTCTGAGCCCAGCCATCGAAAGGGTTGAACGCATAGCTGGCGTACGGTGTCGGCACGATCCACTTGTGATGCTTCTTGTGCAAGAAACGGTAAACAGAAGGATGGTGCTCCCATCTGTGGATCCAATAGATTCCTGTGTCCGTGAAGAAGATGAAAAGCGGGTATTGAAGGTAGGAATATCCAGGGAAGGGCTCCTGGCTTGTGAAGTCATATAGCTTTGACCATCCACGAATTTCCAGCAAGAAAAATGGAACAGTGAGGATGGACATAACAGGCATGGCAAATAGACCCTGCTTGATCTCCTGTCGGATCTGCTGGTGCAGGATTCGTGGATGCTTCATCAAAGACTTGTCGAATACAGTGTGGTATAGGATCGTGCTGCCAAGGAGGTACACGACAACACCGAAAATCCTTCATCATAACCATTTAAGTTAGCCACTAAATCTGATGAAGCTTAAAATTAAGAGCAACATACCACATAGTGAAGAATAATGATAGGGCCTGTCTTGGGAGATGGTCACGCTTCCACCGGCTCGCATTGACATACTGGGACGCTTGCAGCGGATAGTAAAGGCCGATGTGCTGGTTGTAAAGGAATTGGGTCTCCATGGTCGCATTGCCCGGATACATCTCATAGCTCGGAAGCACTGAGGCGTAGACCCGGTCGAAGACGAAGGTGTCGAGAATATCAAGCAGGACATCCATGCTGGCGATTGTTGTTGTGCTTGGTCGCGTTTAGGGCTGGTTCATCCCAAGAAGGTGGATGGTGCTGCTGCTTTATAGGACGAATCAGTCAAATTTCGTTCCTTGCAGGTGGTAATATTGAGTTTAGGTACATGAGAGCTCCTGCAGGATAGGCTATGGGTTTAGGTTACTCTTGATTTCATTTATATACGGGGTTTACCTACCTACTTTTCGGCGTTTCCCTACACGGCGTTTCCCTACCGCGGGAATTCCCTACCACGGGAGCTCGGGTATTCCAGTCAGACCACTGATTAAGGGGCGACGAACGGTGGCGTGGTGATGATACGTTTCTTGTCCCGTGGTTACTGGTTGGTTATACATCATAGCCGTTGATGGTAAAGGGGTATCTCCTGTGGTTCCAAGTTGCTACCTTATACTGCTATATCGTCCACAGACGAATACCGATTAGGCCCCGTTGACCTGTATTCATGATTTATATTCACAGGTGCCGCCGACTTCAACCGCCTAACTGCACCCTTTCGGTCGATTGCAATATCCTCAAAAGGCACTACAGTCGATTGAGTAGCCATGGGACCAACAGTGTGATAATTGATTTCGCACAAACAGCCTATTGTGTTGGTCGAAGTTATACTAGCAGAACAATGTGCATTGTTTGCATTTAATATATAACAATCACATATACCAAATGGCAAGATGGCCGAGTGGTCTAAGGCGCTAGTTTTAGGAACTTCCGAAACACTAGTTCGAAAGAGCGTGGGTTCGAATCCCACTCTTGTCAATACCTTTTTTGTCTTGTTTCGTTCGATACAATGTTGTTATATCACTCACTCTTTTCCATAACGCTGATTTTTTTGGCCGTCCTCGAGACCGACGTAGGTGGTTCAACAGCCATCTCGTGCTTTGTATGTCCTATGTCACAGTCATCAAAAGGTAGGTCTTGCTCCAATATACCGCCCATATGCTGCATCGGAGAAACTATCCGCTCTCGGCACCCATCCGAAAACATGCCCGCCGCACAGCGAGACAATCACGAAAAACCCACCAAAAACCGACGGGCAGAGGGCAGCCAAACCAGCCAGGCCAGATTCAATCCCGCGCTTTCCAACTTCTCATACCCCTCGCCAACTCCACCCTCTTCAACCTCCCCTCCTCCCACCTCTACCTTCCCTCCAAAAGTCTCTTCTTCGTCAAAATGGGTGTCACCTTCGACAAGTGCGAGACCCGCCCGGCCAACATCGATGCCATCCTCAACGGCCTCGACAGATACAACCCGGAGACGACCACGGTATTCCAGGACTACGTCGCCCAGCAGTGCGAGGACCGCACCTTCGATTGCTATGCCAACTTGGCCCTGCTGAAGCTGTGAGTCTCTTCTTCGCCCATGCGCCTACTATCTTACACACTGCACCTCCTTCCCGAGAACCAAGCGCTCCGACGCGGGGATAAGAATAAATGGTTTTTATATGATGAAGAAAATCTCATTTACAATCACGTTTCCTATTACCTGACACCCTACTATGGGGCATGTCGAGATCACAATTCTCCTGAAAATGAAAGCCACCCAAGCTTCTATTCATCGCACACTACATCACTCTCCGCTCCGAGTTTGACGGTACTTGTCATGGCTAACCCGTTCCTCGAATTGTCTTTGATTCAACAGCTACCAGTTCAACCCCCACCTTCTCCAGCCCGAGACCGTCACCAACATCCTCGTCAAGGCTCTCACCGTCTTCCCTTCTCCCGCTTTCTCCCTCTGCCTTGCTCTGCTCCCCGCCCACACCCAGCCCTTCCAGTCCTCCAACCCCGAAGCCCAAGCCGCCGCCCAGACCTCCGACTTCGTTGAGTCCGTCCAGAAGCTCGCCCGTCTGTCTACCCTCCTGGAGTCTGCCCAGTACGCCCAGTTCTGGTCCACCCTGAACTCCGACGACCTGTACGCCGATCTGGTCGCTGACGTCGCCGGATTCGAGGAGCTTGTCCGCATCCGCATCGCCGTCGAGGTCGGCAAGGCCTTCCGTGAGGTCAACGCCGAGGTCCTGGAGCAGTGGCTCGACCTCCGCAGCCGTGAGGCTCTCGAGAAGTTCGTCGCCGAGGTCTGCAGCTGGGAGGTCGACGGTGCCGTCATCAAGGTGCCCACCAACAAGGAGAACGAGGCCCGCAGCGAGGTCAAGAGCGAGCGCGTGGGTGTGGATATGTTCGGTCGTGTCATCCGCAGAGGTTTCGAGCAGGCTGCCTGAGCGGAAAGTCCCCAAATATCATTATTTCGAGGATTTGCATCGGATTTCCCCCCCTTCTCGAATCAACCGAAATCGCAACCGTGACGTCTTATTCAAATCTCGTTTCTCTCTTTCGGACCGCTTTTTCCACCCTTCACATTCTTGCTAATACTTTTTACTTATGTTTCTCCTTGTGCCTTGAAGGTTGATCCGGGGCTCTCGATCTAGCCCCGTTGATCCTTTTCAAACGTCTCATTTCTTCTCCCCTTCTTCTTCCGGTCCATCTGTGAAAGATGCACCGAGAGGAAGAAGGAAGAAGGAAAACTTGGGACAGGCATAATCCGAACTTCACCTATGACTTATGAGTCATGAAGCTCCCAAAATAAGATGATGATGAAACCCCATGGGGAAGAAAAACGGAGAGGGTTAGACCAACATGTGGGGATTAGAAAGAGACGGGGGGACTGGGAAGTCAGGAACCTGGCGCAATCGGCGTTTCGAGTTTTGGTTCGCTGCTTTGCGTGTGTTGATTACCATCTTCATCATCTACATCTAGATGAATCTGTCTCTCTCCCCCGTTGCAACGGTGCCTTTCCATGCATTCAGTTCTTAGTCCCAAGATATCCTTTTTTTTATTGTAAAGCAGAAAGGAACAGGAAGCGAGGAAAACAAAAAGAAATCACTTCAAAAATCAAATAGACGTAATCCAGTGGCATTTTCTGTCGCACTGCCTCGATAATAATCGGAGATACTTGTGTCTGGATGCATGTATCACTGAATAGGTATACTTTTGGATTTCCAACGAGGCCAAAAAGCTCAATGGCGTCTATGAACATGGTAGAGTATGTATATATATAGTAAAAATGGTCATCATCAACATCAAATTATTCATGGGTAAAGCGTTAGGTGTGGGTAGTGGGTGGAAGAAGGGAGGGTTCGGATTTCAGGTTCACACCCGTTTGTCTCCCCCCCCATTTGAGGGGACGGAAAAAGAGAGCGGAATCCATCCATCCATCAATCAATCTATTTAGCAGCCTCCTCCCACTGCACACCCGCCCACTCCTCACGATAGCCCACGACGCCGACCTCCTTCGGCCCACAATCCCGGCCACACACGGCCAACATGATCGTTCCCCACTCCATGCCGGCGTCACCGAGCCCGACGCCCTCCCGGCCGTCCTCGAGCACACTGATGGCGTGCGGCACGAGCTGGAACTCGAACACGCGCTCGCTGCCGCAGTACTCACAGCGCGGGATGCGGCTGGAGAGGGACGGCCCCCCCGTCGTGGCGATGTGCGCGTTGGCGGGCTTGTGCGCGAGGACCTCGTGCAGGCGCTTGCCGATGGCGTCCGTGTGCGAGTAGAGCAAGGGGTTGCCGCGGAACTGGTACCGCAGAATCTGCTCGGGGTTGTGGCCCAGCCGGGTGGAGAAGCGCATGAAGGCCTTGTCCAGCTCGGACTCGAAGGCGTCCTTGAGGTCGGCCCCGCCGCTGCCGCCGGTGTCCTCGCTGTTGTCGATCGTCACGTTGTCCGGGATCGTCGGCGTTGAGGGCCGCGAGAGCGTCTCGTACTCGGCATCGAGGTAGAACCGCGGATACGGGGCGGGGAAGTCGGAGTCGGCCGGCCACGGGGTGACGGGGCCCGAGGTCTCCTCGGGGGGTGTGATGGTCTTAGATGATGCTGCGGGCGGTGGGGGTGGGGAGGAGACGCGGACTTTGTCGGCGAAGGAATCGGAGAGGGTGTTGGCAGCAGCGGCGGCGGTCGTCGATGCCGGGGTGGATGGTTTGGCGACTAGACCAGGAGAGGGGGCGGGCGCGGCGAACGGGTTGCTGTTGCTGGAGAATGGGTTGCTACTTGCACCAGCTCCGCCGGAGGAGAAAGGGTTGGCGTTGGCGGAGACACTGCCGATCAGGGAGGAGGATCCGAATAGACTTGCGCCGAGATCCGGTTTAGGAGCCTCGTTCTTTGTCTTCTCCTCTTCCTTGCTGGGGGCTTCGGTTGGGATCTCCTCCACTTCTTCTTGTCCCTTTGCGCCTCGGGGCTGTTCGCTCTTCACCTTGCGGGTAGCGCGCAGAGCTCTGATGCTGCCGGGTTTGCGGTTGCAGGGTTTCCTGGGACAGGCAAAGATGTATAGACGTCGCTCATTGTCCGGGAAGTCGTCTGGGAGATCACCGTGCAGTTCGAGGAGGAGAAGCATGGGCGAGTTGCAGACTTTGCATTTGGCGAATTCGCCCGGAGGCGGGGTAGCGTCGTCGAGCCAGGTCTGGGGCAATAACATTCGTCAGTGAAACTTGTTCTTGTAGATGCTTTCTTGTGAAGCGGTGTCAGAGGAGATGTACCGGAGTTCCACCCAGGTGACTGATTGTGTCTTCTAAAATCTCGTCTGCTGCGTAACCCAAGAGCACGCCGGTCTCGGTGAAGTCCCCCTCATCGTCGAAAGATGAGTCGCTGTCATAGGGGTCCATGGTCGGTGAGTCAGATCGGTCAAATGTAGCGATATATGAATAAGATGATATGCGCAGTCGTGACGAGTACGTGCAATTGGCTTCAAGCAGAATACAATGGATCGAGTGTCCTGTACGAAGCAACTGAGCGATGCGATGATTTTTGGGCAGCTGGGAAAAAAAAGCCCGTAGAAAAGCGATAAGCGATAGAGTCCCGGCCCCAGGCACCTTAGCCTAATCAGGATTAGCGCCTTTGATATGGCTCGATGCATCACCGACGGAGTATCCGTAACTACAGCCTACTTCTTCTTTTTACTCACTCTCACTGTTTGATCTCTCTCATCACTTCTGTTCGCAAATGACCTATTGAGTCTGTGTGTTACTGAGTAGAAAAGTGCATACCTCTTTCTGCCGTCGAAGCGTCATAATATCATCATCGAGGGAGTTGGTCCCTTATGCAAGCACGGATCCCATCTCTACTCTATCCACTAAGAAACTTGCTATCATGAATTCTCATCCCAAGCGTCCATCCTTTGTCTACCTTCTATATACTCAGCTTATATATTATCTGTTCATTCTATGCTTCATTCCTGGCAGCAATGCCGCTAAACAGCAACCCTTGAGCTCGTTCGGAGAGAACATTCCCAAGAAAGTCGCGATCATCGGTAACTAATACCATACTCCATTGCAATCCACGCTTTGATGACTGACATCCTAGATAGGCGCTGGAGCTGCAGGATCATCGGCTGCATACTCTCTCCGCAAGTACGCTGATGCCCAACATGTTCCCGTCAACATCACTGTCTTCGAGCGCTCTTCGTATGTTGGAGGCCGCTCAACCACGGTCAACGTCTTCGACCACCCGGGCTACCCAATTGAACTGGGGGCCTCGATCTTTGTTAGCGTCAACTACAACCTGGTGAATGCGTCCAGAGACCTGGGACTCAACGCCCGGAGCGCCAGCTATGAGCGACCCCGAGAGACCGACGACACCATCGGCATCTGGGACGGGGACCAGATGGTGTTCGTGTTCAAAGACACCTCTGGCTGGTGGAACCTTGCCAAGTTGCTTTGGCGATACGGATTGGCACCGGTCAACGCTTACCGACTGATGAAGTCCACCGTCAACAAGTTCCTGCAACTCTACGACGGACCCATGTTCCCTTTCCGGTCCCTCACCCAAGCCACCGAGGCCGTCGGGCTCCTTAACACCGTCGCCGTGCCCGGATTGGAATTCCTGCGGCTCAACCGCATCTCCGATCTCTTCTCCCGCGAGATCGTCCAAGCCAGCACGCGCGTCAACTACGGACAGAACCTAGGCCTCATCCACGGCCTTGAGACGATGGTCTGCCTCGCCACCGACGGCGCCATGGCCATCGAAGGCGGCAACTGGCAGATCTTCGACGGCATGCTCAAGGCCTCCGGGGCCTCCGTGCGTGTGAATCACACCGTCACATCCATCAACTGGGACGCCCCAGGCCAGCAGCACCGTCCCGCAAGCCTCACATTCAAGGCTAGCAGCACCTCGTCTTCAGCTCAGACCGAAGAAGAAGACTTTGATGAAATCATCATCGCTGCCCCTTTCCAGTTCACCGACATCACCACAACCCCACCCCTGCAGATCACCCCCGACGATGTCCCCTTCGTAAAACTGCACGTAACCCTCTTCTCCTCCCCGCACCGCCTCTCGCCAGCCCACTTCAACCTTTCCGGTCCCAACACCCCAGAAACCATTCTCACCACCCTCCCCCACGACCTGGACCCTACCGTAGGCAAAGCCGAAAAGGGCGTCGGCCCCGCCAACTTCTGGAGTATTAGTACCCTCCGCACCGTGGTTGTTCCCCCTCCTCCTTCTTCTCACCCCACTACTTCAGAACCCGAGGACGACCAACCACAGCCGGAAGAGCACTACGTCTATAAGATCTTCTCCCCCGAACGCCCTACCGCCGCCTTCCTACGCTCGATCCTCGGGCTCGCGGACCCACTAGAGGTCCAGGACATGAAGGAGACTGCCACCGCCTCGTCCATCGAAGACCTTCCAAGCAAGGACATCAGTTGGTTCCATGAGAAGGTCTGGCGGCCTTATCCGTTCGTCTACCCGCGAGTGACCTTCGAGGAGATCGCGCTGGCGCCCCACGTATGGTATACGGGGGGCATCGAGAACTTCATCTCGACGATGGAGACGAGCGCGTTGATGGGGAAGAATGTGGCGGCTTTGATGGTGAAGGAGTGGGAGGAACAGAGGGAGAAGGCCGATGCGGCGATGGGGTCAATGGGGTTCAGTCAGTTTGGGGATGGTAAGGTTGAGCTGTGAGGCAGTAGACAGACTTGGGAAATAAGCGATTGACAGATGGAGCACAGATTGATGGGTAACGCAGGAGGAACCCTAGAGGCACCTTGAACTACGTATAAACGGCTCGGAAGAGTGCTACTACCACTGCTACGATATGGAAACACATGTGAGAAGTTGAACTTCATGAATTATTAACTCTGAGTTATCTGATACTGATACTAAACTCAGTCAAGGCGGTTAAAGCCTTTGATGTTCAACCATGAACTTTTCCTGTCCTGTTGAAGAAAGTGTTGAAGAAAGCATCCTGGTGCTCAATTTTTTTTCTCCTCAAATCATTCACACATGCTCATGCATATCCATGTCCCATGACCCGCGTAAGGTTGAAAAAGCAGTCCTGTATAAAACCCCTGTATAAAACGACACACCGGCTAGATGTTGAACTCGAAAACCAAAACAAAATCATAAAAAGAAGATGTGGTATCATATTGTTGAAAGCTACCCCGGGGCAGTGATCACACTTAGACGGGGAGGGGGAAGGTGCTGGCCCACTGGGCAATCTCCTTGCGGAGCTCGAGGATCTCGGGGACGGTCTCGGAGGCAACCTTGGCCTTGAAGTCCTTGAGCTTGTTGGCGCCCTGGGGCAGCTCGCTCTGGACCTGCTTGCAGATGTTGATGGACTGGTCAATGTAGCGGGCAATGCGCTTGAAGTCGTCCTCGGACATGCCACGAGTGGTCATAGCGGGGGCACCAATGCGGATACCGCAGGGGGTGAGAGCGGACTTGTCACCGGGGATGGAGTTCTTGTTGCAGGCGATGTTGATCTGCTCAAGGACAGCCTCTACACGGGCACCGTCGAGGCTCTTGGGGCGGAGGTCGACGAGGACCATGTGGCTGTCGGTACCGTCAGAGACGAGCTTGTGGCCCAGAACCTTGAACTCATTCTCAAGGGCCTTGGCGTTCTTGATGACCTGCTCCTGGTAGAGCTTGAACTCAGGGGAAGCAGCCTGCTTGAGGGCAACGGCAAGGGCAGTGATGGTGTGGTTGTGGGGACCACCCTGGTGACCAGGGAAGACGGAGAAGTTGATAGGACCCTCAAGGTCGTACAGGATATCCTTGCCGGTCTTGGCGTCGTGGCTGCGGACACCCTTGCGGAAGAAGATCATGGCACCACGGGGACCACGGAGGGACTTGTGGGTGGTGGTGGTGACGACATCGGCGTACTCAAAGGGAGAGGGGATGACACCGGCGGCGATCAGGCCAGAGATGTGGGCCATGTCGACGACGAGGTAGGCGCCAACCTTGTCGGCGATCTTGCGCATACGCTCGTAGTCAATGAGACGGCAGTAAGCGGAGGTACCAGCGACCAGGATCTTGGGGCGGTAGAGCTCGGCGTTGGCCTCGAGGGTATCGTAGTCAATGATACCAGTCTCAAGGTTGACACGGTAGGGGAAGGTCTCGAAGTAAGTGGAGACAGCAGAGATCCTACAGGAAATGACGTTAGCAGCTGCTTGATATTGACAGGAAGAGCTCGAAAGAAGCCGTAGAAGCTTAGAAGACGTACTTGCGGGAAGGAGTCTGGTAACCGTGACTCAAGTGACCACCGTGGGGGAGATCGAGACCCATGAGGCGGTCGTGGGGGCGCATGAGAGCCTGGTAGACCTGGAGGTTGGCAGGGCTTCCACTGAGGCACTGCACGTTGACACCCCACTTCTCGGAGTCAAGGTTAAAGGCCTTGAGGGCACGAGCCTGGCAAGTAAGCTCGATGGCATCGATGTGCTGGTTACCACCATAGTAACGGGCACCGGGATAACCCTCGGAGTACTTGTTGGACATGGGAGAGCCCAGGGCATTGAAGACGGCGTGGGAGGTGAAGTTCTCCGAGGCGATCAGGACAATGGATTCACGCTGACGCTGGATTTCTTTCTCCTATAGAAAAAATGCATGTTAGTATTCTTCTTGATCATTGGTTATTGATGAGGAATTGAGAGGCAGAACATACCATGATCTGGGCGATCTCAGGGTCGGACTCGACGAGAGACTTCTCCATTTGCTGCACCGATGAGTCAGTCAACTGCTTTGGTTCTTTCTGGAAGACATGGAGTACTTACGTCCCGGTGGGACTGGGGGAGGGCGTAGGTGGCCATTGTGTGTGATGTGAAGATGGAGGAGGGGATGGAAAGGAGGATAGAGGAAGGAAAAGGATGGGATGAGGAGGAAAGAAAGAAAGAGAAAGGAAGATTGAAGGAGGGGGGGGGGGAGAAGGAGAGGTAGAAGAAGAAGTAGAAAAGAGAGGGAGGATCTGGCGGGGTGCGCGGCGGCGGACTGGGTCGGGAAGGGAAAAAAGTTGCCTCAGGACGGAGGTCACAGACCAATCTTTCCTCCTCTGAGCCCCGCAGTCCGAATTGGACGGGAGGCAAAAGAAAAAATGACCAAAAATGACTCCCACTAAAAAGAAAAATCCGGAGGCGGTCGCAAGTCCGGGAACGACATCGGAGCCGTGCTTGCGAAAACCCGCCGACTCCTCCGTGGGTTACGGAGTGTCCATTCTATGCGTTCGATGTCTTTAGTCGCCGCTATTATTCATCGCCTGCCACAATCCTTGGGATTTGGAGGCATTTCGCTCTTTTCTGCCAAAAAGTCAATCCTGTAGATTGCACATCGTTTCCCTTTGATTGGTGCTTCAATACGATATTCCGAAGAAATAAATTGTCTAGATTCAAACCAAACCACCAAACCGCCCAAAAAAAATTGGTTGGCAGTAAAACCACAGTCTGACTCACCGTCGCAGGTATCCACTGGAGCTTGCTCGCCGAGCAAGCAAGCAAGCAGCACCAGCAAACTATTCCCGAGAGATGATCGGACCAGGTTTCGTATATGTAGTGCATTATTTCCAACCATACAAAAGCTGAATTTCAGGTCACGCAAGCAAGCCTTACAAGTAGAGATAATGATCATAATAGATTAAAAAGCTTTATTGACTGTCCTTTTGGCTTATGCAGACCTCCACTTCCTACAAAGCTCAAAAAAATAAAAAAAAGAATCTTTGGTTCACCACTTCGTCTGTCTTCAGTTCAATGTTAACTCCGGAGGTCCTTCCTTGCAGATCAATACCACCTGATGTACTGCAGGTCTCATTCCAATGCACAATGAGGACCGTGGAGGCCAGAGCGGGGTTGTCAAGCATAATGAACAGCGCTTCCCAGCTGCAAGATCCCTTGAGAGCAGCTTTTGTGATATATTGTTCAGCCACTAGCATGCTGGTAGCATGGCAAACGTAGGTAAGGGGCAGGACGGCCATGGTGGTAGGTACTATTCAAGTGTCTGCAGTTCTTGAACAGCAGCAGTGGCAGCTTATTCCCTTGTATTGCTGTGGCTTCAGGTAAAGTCCGCAGGCCTCTTCATAGCGCAGCGACGTTCCATTAACAACAATCTGAGCCAACTGACCGTGCCAACAGCCAAGGGTTCGATGATCGGGCTACTTTGCAGTGTGCTGGGCTATCAAAACCAGTTTCTGTGTTAGATCCAACCCAACAATCGACATGAGTTCACTTGGATGATACAGCGGGCCCGAGTATGCATGCTTGATACTAGCCGCCTTCGAGAAGAAGCGTCCTGCTCCTTTGGGTTATGACCGAGATCATGGCGGTGCTCCCGCCATCGTTGATGTCCATAGGTCTACCGCTCTCAGCTCTCAAGGTTCGGTGATTCTGGATTTGCCCGCGCCCCGAGGACTAGCTCTCCGGCCAAAGTCAGAGATGACTGATTTGAGCTTTGCGATACGGTCCTCGAGCTCCTGGATTTCTACCTCCTGCTCTGTAACAGAGCGGTCAACATCTGGCAAGTTCTCCACCACTGCCTGCGCCTTCTGAATCCGGATCTTGATCGAGCTGACCTCGGTCGGGAGATCTTTGATATCGAGCGGTGGGGGTGCATTCGATCCCAAGGCTGCAAGTTCGGCCGAGGCGGAAACCGGCCTAGGTCCTGCGGATGGAACCGTCAACAGCACTCCAGGGTGACCGTGGCTTTCATTCCCAGGTTGTGAGTGAGGCTGGCCAGGAGCACTTGTGGGTTGTCCGACCGGGCCCGAGCCTCCACTGTTGACTTCGGCAGCCCTGACACCGTTACTAGCTGGTCCGGGGGATGCGAGCAGACGAAGCAGAAGACCGTGCAATGGCGGAAGGATATCAAAAGTCTGCGGGGCCGGGAATGGCACCGCTTGAGGTGTAACGGGGGTGTCCTTCACGATGGGGGTCTCGGGCGCGGAGAGCGGTGGTTTCGCTGCGGGTGTGAAGGCCGTTGGGGATCTGGACGCCATGATCGGAAGAGAACCGGGACGGCGAGAGTCGGCTTAGTGTATTCTTGCGGTTGCAGGATGAAGAGTCGAAGACTAACAGCAGGCAGGAGTGGGAAATGAGCAAGAGACGAAATATGGGGCCCCTGATTTCGGGATGCTGGGTAATTGTTTAGGGAAGAGCCGGAACGTGGAGGTAAGTTTTGTTGCGGGCGGACGAGAACGGCAGGACAGAGCAAACTGGAAGCTGAGAGTGACGTCGGGAAGAAAACAACCCCAAAGCGTCACCGGGAAGAAAAAGGAAAAGAGCCCCTCCTCCCCCTCATCCATTCCATCCCAACCCAGTTGTTTTCACCGGGCCAGCCCTTTTTACTCCGGTCTCTCCACCTAACTACTCTTCTTCCTCTTTCGTCCTTTCTTCTTTCTTGATTCTTTTTTCCCCCATTGCTTCAATTCCTATCCTGATTCTCCTTTCCCCATTATCCATCTTCAAGTAAGTATACGGCTTATATCCACTCCCGCAATCACGATGCTCGGAACTATACGTCGCCACCTTAAAGGTTCCTTTGCCCCGCCAGCGATTTCGCTAACCAGCCAATTTCTTCTATTAAGCATAACTTCACCATGGTTAAGGTTGATCAGAAGGTCGCTTTGAGTAAGTCGTTTCCCTCAGAACAGTCTTTGATATTTCAATCGACTAACCCATCTGCTCAGTCGTCATCGATGGCTGGGGTGTCGCCGGCCCCGACTCCCGCAAGGACGGTGATGCCATCCTCGCCGCTGAGACCCCCTTCATGTCCGGCTTCGCTGAGGCCGACTCCAAGACTGCCCAAGGTTACACCGAGCTGGATGCCTCATCCCTCGCCGTCGGATTGCCCGAGGGCCTCATGGGCAACAGCGAGGTTGGCCACTTGAACATCGGTGCTGGTCGTGTTGTCTGGCAGGACAGCGTCCGCATCGACCAGACCCTGAAGAAGGGTGAGCTCAACAAGATCGACAACGTTGTCGCCTCCTTCAAGCGGGCTAAGGAGGGCAACGGCCGTCTGCACCTGTTGGGTCTGGTCTCGGACGGTGGTGTCCACTCCAACATTACTCACCTGGTCGGTCTGCTGAAGGTTGCTAAGGAGATGGAGATCCCCCAAGTCTTCATCCACTTCTTCGGTGATGGACGTGATACCGATCCCAAGAGTGCCGCCAAGTACATGCAGCAATTACTTGACCACACTAAGGAAATTGGCATCGGTGAGATCGCTACCGTCGTTGGCCGCTACTGGGCCATGGACCGCGACAAGCGCTGGGACCGTGTCGAGATCGCCATGAAGGGTATTGTCACCGGAGAGGGTGAGGACAGCGAAGATCCCGTCAAGACGATCAACGAGCGCTATGAGAAGAAGGAGACCGACGAGTTCCTCAAGCCTATCATCGTCGGCGGCAAGGACAGACGTGTCCAGGGTATGTTTTCACTTTCTTCCGTGGCGTGGATGAATAGGCTTACTGACGGATAATGTTCGACAGACAACGACACCCTGTTCTTCTTCAACTACCGCTCTGACCGTGTTCGTGAGATCACCCAGCTGTTGGGTGACTACGACCGCTCCCCCAAGGCCGACTTCCCTTACCCCAAGGACATCCACATTACCACCATGACCCAGTACAAGACCGACTACACCTTCCCCGTTGCTTTCCCCCCTCAGCACATGGGTAACGTGCTGGCTGAGTGGCTCAGCAAGAAGGACCTCAAGCAGTGCCACGTTGCCGAGACCGAGAAGTATGCCCACGTCACTTTCTTCTTCAACGGCGGTATCGAGAAGCAGTTCGACGGCGAGGTGCGCGACATGATCCCCTCGCCCAAGGTTGCCACCTACGACCTGGACCCCAAGATGAGCGCCAAGGAGGTTGGTGAGAAGATGGCCGAGCGCCTTGGTGAGGGCAAGTTCGAGTTCGTCATGAACAACTTCGCTCCTCCCGACATGGTCGGCCACACCGGTGTCTATGAAGCTGCCATCGAGGGTGTTTCTGCCACCGACAAGGCTATTGGTGTCATTTACGAGGCCTGCAAGAAGAACAACTACATTCTGTTCATCACCGCTGACCATGGGTGAGTTGTGACCGTAACTCTAGTCAATACGATGAGCTAACAATCCGCAGAAACGCTGAGGAGATGCTTAACGAGAAGGGCACCCCTAAGACCTCCCACACTCTCAACAAGGTTCCTTTCGTCATGGCCAACGCCCCCGAGGGTTGGAGCCTCAAGAAGGAGGATGGTGTCCTCGGTGATGTCGCCCCCACCATCCTGGCTGCCTTGGGCGTTGAGCAGCCCGAGGAGATGTCCGGACGCAGTCTTTTGGTTAAGGCATAGATTTAGTGTATAGAGTATAGTTCAGGTTTCTAGATACGGCGATTTATGAAGCGATGAATATTAATGGAGCGCCCTAAAGGCATCAATTGAGTTGTAGAGCATGAGTGGTTGCACACATAGAACAGCTAGGATATTGATTGAGAGCTCCCTGGAACCCGGTAATAATACCCTGAGCGGTAGGATGGTTCTTTCTGTCCCTTTTAGAGACGGTATCACCAGTGATCGATTGGAGAAAAGGTAAGAAACCACAAAACTGAATCATTGCAAGGGTATCTAAAACCACATACTTGTTCCATCGACCACGAAGAGTAGGCTGGTAAAGATCCTACACTCGAAATCTCACCAATCGTCTCTCTACATCGCCGTCCGAATTGAATGCAACTGTGCTGCACAGCTGCTGAGGTATAAACCCGCAATACTGCCGACAATGCGAGTGCATCCAGGTCCGTCGTTCTGATGCACAGGTCCCTACCATGCTTGGGAAGTGTGGGGGGCGGTTCAACCTCAGTCTAGAGCTAACCCATTATACCATCCTCCACCACTCAAGCAGAAGCAGCGGCGGCTTGTTGCTGAACCTGGGTTTGGAACTGAACAATCTGTAGAATCCATCAGAATTACTTCCAGTCCCATCGTGACCCCAATCAGCGCACGCTTACCTCGGTCCGTTTCTTGTCCGACTTGTCCTGGTTCTCCTGGATTTGGCCCTCGATCCGCTTACTGTAGCCCAACCATTAGACCTCTTTTTGTTTTGTCCACTGTACGGGATACGGTGGCATACATTTCCTTCTCAATGAACTCCAACCGTCCATTGACAGCCATGACAGCCTCAGTCTTGTCCTGCTTCAACAGCACCGGACCGATCAGCTTATAGATGTTGGACTCGTCATCGAGCGTGTCGAATTCCTTCTGTACGCCCAGGTTCTCTTGTTGCTGGGACTCGAGCTTTTGGCGCGCATCGACAAGACCATCGAGTTCTGGCAGTGGTGAGGGGTTTCTCGTTAGCAACGAGCTATCTGACGCGATGCGCCTAAGACACAGCCACGGGGCAATCCGAGAGTACACACCAGTTTGCAGTTGCTGGAACTCATCCGAGAGCGCCTGCATTTTTTTCTGAGCGTCCGCCATATTTTTGATCGGTTGTTTTATGGTTCTACAGAACTATTGAGAAGGAGAGCGGGGGGTAAAGTAACCAACAGAATAAGCTGGGAGAAGGTGCGGGCGGGCAGCTGCGCGGGCGGCGGCTCGGAGGGGCAAAAACGGCCAGGCGGAGCGGCAGAAAACCAAAGACGGTAAACAACTCGGGCGACGGTTCAGTTCAACTTGTTGCCATCTCAACTTAACCTACCTCTTTTCTCCAACTTACAATTCCTTTTCCCAGGAAGACATTCAAGAAACTGACCTGGGGGTCTCGCACTGCTACTCCCCGCGATTCCAATCCGTGTGATCCATTCGCAAGACTTTATTGCTACCCTGATCTCATCAAGCCAGGGCTACCTATCCTACCTACCTACCAAGCAACCAATCAACCCAGCCACTCCTCGGTCTCGGTCTAGTACTGTACCTACGCTCTCTCCCCGCCTTTCGCCTTCTCCATTCCCTGTCCGTGTCCCATCCCTCCCTCCACTACCCCTTCAAAAGCCTCATTACGTAGCCGGGAGTACCAAAAAACAAAACAAAAAGAAAACCGCCTTCGCCTGCCAACCTTCCTCCGCTCCACCCCCCACTTTGTTCACACAGCCATGAGCAATACCGACTTCCTCGGCCGGGCAATTGACACGGTCAAAAAGGCCATCGAGAACGACAATGAGGGCGAATACGAGAAGGCCTATCAGCTCTACTACTCCGCCCTGGAGCTGTTCATGCTCGCCTTAAAATGGGAGAAGAACCCCCGCTCCAAGGAGATGATCCGCGCGAAGACCGGCGAATACATGGACCGGGCCGAGAAGCTCAAGAACCATCTCGCCTCGCAGGAGGGGCGGAAAAAGCCGAGCGCAGTGGGCGCGAATGGGAAGGTCGCGCAAGGGAGTGGGAAGGGAGGGTATGTTTTCATTCTTCTGTTTGCTTTGTTGAGAAAAAGAAGATGGAGAAACTCGTTCAATGCGTTCTCTACTTCCTCCTTCAAAGTCATTTTGGGTTGGCTGGATAACTGACAATTGGCCGTTTTTACTTGCAAACAGGAAAGAAGATGATGATGGCGAGGACGCCGATGCGAAGAAGTTACGGTCCGCTCTGGCCGGCGCGATTTTGTCGGATAAACCGAACGTCAAGTGGGAGGATGTCGCAGGTCTGGAGAGCGCGAAGGAGGCCTTGAAGGAGGCGGTCATCTTGCCGATCAAGTTCCCGCATCTGTTCACGGGGAAGAGACAACCGTGGAAGGGTATCTTGCTGTATGGGCCGCCCGGTACGGGTAAATCGTATCTTGCCAAGGCGGTCGCGACGGAGGCGAATAGTACCTTCTTCAGTGTGAGTAGCAGTGACTTGGTGTCCAAGTGGATGGGTGAGAGTGAAAGGTATGGATGCTTGCTCGTGCTTTGAGACTAGACGGGATTTTGGGCGCTAACGGTCCCCTTTCACAGGCTCGTGAAGCAGCTGTTCAACATGGCCCGAGAAAACAAACCCGCCATTATCTTCATTGACGAGGTCGATGCCCTCTGCGGCCCCCGTGGAGAAGGAGAGTCCGAGGCGTCCCGTCGTATCAAGACTGAATTGCTCGTGCAGATGGACGGTGTCGGAAAAGACTCCAGGGGCGTCCTAATCCTCGGTGCGACCAATATCCCGTGGCAGTTGGATGCGGCCATTCGTCGCCGTTTCCAACGGAGAGTCCACATCAGTCTCCCAGATATCAACGCCCGTATGAAGATGTTCATGTTGGCCGTCGGCTCCACGCCGTGTGAGATGACGCAAGCCGATTATCGGACCTTGGCTGAGATGAGCGAGGGCTACTCGGGCAGTGATATCAGCATCGCGGTACAGGATGCGCTAATGCAGCCTATTCGGAAGATTCAGACCGCGACGCACTATAAGAAGGTGAACTTCACTCCTTCCCACATGGTTCAAACACCCGACTAACCGCAATCAGGTCATCGTTGACGGTGCGGAGAAGCTCACGCCTTGCTCACCTGGCGATCAGGGCGCCGTCGAAATGACATGGACAAGCGTGGACGCAGAGAAGCTCTTGGAGCCACCGCTAATCCTCAAAGACTTCATCAAGGCTGTGCGCAACTCCAGACCAACCGTCAGCCAGGAGGATCTTCAAAGAAACTCCGAATGGACGCAAGAATTTGGCAGCGAGGGTGCCTGAGCCCTTGTATCTGCCTATTAAGAACCGTCCCATCCCACTTCTCCGTCTTCAAACCATTGATCCTGATATAGAGTCAAACTTACATGGAACTCAATCTTTCTCGTTGGTTTTTGCACTGAAACGCCGATCTGATTCTCTCTGATTTTCACTACTAAACGAGTTGGATGAACGAAAGGAATGACCTATGCTTATGTGTTTCCATTTGTTTCTATACATACACTTTTTTTTTTTTTTTTTTTATTTTTTTTTTGCCTCTTGTTCTGCCGTCCTGTGCCTCTTGCGCTGATGTTTCTCTGCAAACCCTTCTCACCATGACTTTGGTGTTAGGAGCTTTTTTTTTCTCTCGATTTTCTTCCGATCTGAATATGTGGCAAGGCGAGGCGTTACTTGATGCTGTTACTTCGAGTTAAGACACTACTTCTATCTACCATTCATCACTTCTCTTCGGGTTGCCCTCGAAGCATACCTCACGGATGTCACCTTTGTTATTGGTACAATCTCAAGAAAGCATTATTGTTCGCATCTTCTGTCGATGAAACCCGTCTTTGAACCTTGGCAGTTAAACGATGGGTTGAGCGAAACTCGTATCCAGGCTACAGAAACTCAATGCAGATGTGTATGCAGTCATTCGGCTGGGGGATTCGCATCCTAAAACGCACCAACAGCTCGGGTACAGTCTAAGAATGTAAAAGGGTGTAGTTCCATGTACTGAGTCGAAATCAATCAGGCTATTCAAACAAAATCATCCGTGCATCCATTCATCCATCCATCCATCCTATGGCCAAGAAAAAAAACAAGAGAAAAGCCAGAGAAGCACGAAAACAACGAAAACGCCACATGAGACCACACAAAAGGGTTATGATACCAGAAAAACAAACAAACACGTCGGGGAATCTTCTTATCATCAAAGGTGCCGAAATTTCCGGGGGGCAAAGCAAAAGTGAGAACATATGACGCACGCTCTTGACTTGTTGAACCTGAATCAAGTCACATACAAACAGCGCGGGTGCGAGTAAGAGAGAAGGGAATGAGGGCGGGGGAAGACAAAGCATCTATGCAAAAGGTTGTTGCCGGAAGGTGGCAGAGCTGATTAGGCTGGCTCCGTTCACGACGGGGCTTGAGCTTGAATAACTGTTTCGTCAGTATTTGTTCGACGACTCTCTTCTCTTCATGACCTCGTTCTTGGCCCGTTTCAACCCTTCGCCGATCTTTTTGGTTTTCTTCCAGTCCTGGCTCATTCGTCGCATGCGGACGATGGCCTTGACCATGGAGATGGCGGTCTTGAGTTTCGCCTGTGGGGTCCGGCGGGGGGTGCGGTCTCGGGGCTTGACGCCCATGTCTGAGATCATGCGCAGGTCGGCTTCGTTGCTGCAGTGATGCGAAACAATAGAAAGTCAGTTATCTTGTGGCGAGGACTGATCTGTGAAGATAGATGAAAGGGAGGAAGTATACGCACCATGCAACCCTGACGCGCTCGCCCAGCTCCATCAATCCCTTACTCCAAGCCAGATCGCGACGGAATTTCTCCTCTCGCTTTAGACGAGCACGGAGCCAGATGATCTCCTTGCCGAGGCCCAGAATCTCCTTGTCGTGTCGTGTCTTGCTGTCGGTCCTGGTTCCCAGCTTCTCCACAAGCTGGTCATAACGATCCTGCAGAGCCTCGAGTTCCTTGAGAGACGTTTCGGCTCTACGCGCGCAGAACGACCGCTCATCGCGGATTCGGCGCATTTGGGACTTGAGCTCGTTGAGGCGGGCATCACGCTCCGAGACCTTGAGGGCGAGAGCTTCGGCCTCGAGTGTGGATGATTTGAGTAGTTCATGGAGGTCACGTTGATCTTCTTCTCTCATGGCAGCTCGCTCCAGCTCGCGATTCTTCTGCTTCACTTCCTTGAGTGCTCGGTGTGCCTCGGACAGTTGCTTCCGCATGTTGCGGAGTTCATCATGGAGCTTGTTTGAGGGTGACGATGAGGGTGATCGAGTTTCGAACTTGTTCATCAAGGATTCATGCAGTTCCCTCTCGAGCTCGGAAATTCTTGCCTTGTAGGCCCGTACGGACGATTTCTGCTCGGCTTCCCGCTGAAGAAGGAACTTTTCACGTTTCCGTGCTTCGTCTAAGCCATGCCGGAGCATCGAAAGGTCTGCGTGTGCAGTTGAATGCTCAAGCTCAGGCTCAGTATGCGGATGCTCATGAAGGAGTGTTTCGAGTTCTTGGATACGTCTCTCGAGACGTTGTATCTTGCTCTTGGCGAGAGCAATTTCACGTTCCCTGCCCCCGGAAGTTGTATGTAGTTTATCCTGGAGCTGGTCGATTTCTGCCGAAAGACGGTTCTCTTCCAGCGTAGCACGCTCAATCTCAGTGCTAAGCTGCTTCTCCAGTGTCTCCTTCGCCTCAAGAAGGGATGACTTGTCTTCCTTGAGGCGCTTGAGCTCGGCTTCGAGACGCAGAGTCGACTTGCGCAGGTCAATCTTCTCTTTGTCGAAGCGTGTTGTGTCGTCAACCTGGTTTTGGACCTGATCAAGTTGGCTTTGAAGCTCGTCGCGTTCAGCTTCAATCTCGGTAAAAGAAGTCCGCAAGTCGTGCAATTCCACGTGAGCATTAGCAAGCTGATCTCGAAGTCTTTGCTTTTCGGTTAACAGCTTCTGCACCTGACTGTCCTGCTCCAAGGATCCTTTCTGTGTACGACCCTTGGCAAATTCCTGTTCTTCTTCCAGGTTTGCTTGCAAGACCACAATCTCATCCTCCAACGCTTGAATTTTCTCTGTGAGAGTCGTCTCTGCGCGTCGTACAAGCCTCAGCTCCTCTCTGGTGGACAAGAGCTCATTCCTCTGTTCGTCTATTATCTCTCGCTTTGATGTCAGGTCGTCGTTCAATTCCTTGACCTGTCGACTCAGGACAGCCTCCGAATTGAAGTGTCGCGTCTTTTCGCTGTCAATAACTTCTTGCAACTTCATCTCTTTTCCAGACAGCGTATGCTCTACTTGTTCGAGCTTCTCAATCGTGCGCTTAAAGCCAGCCGCCTGATCCTCGGCCCTGTCCTTCTGGAGCTGCAAGGTTCGCCTTGCGCTCTCCCATCTGTCCTGTTCAAGCGCAAATTGCCCTTCTTTGTCCTCAATCTCATGATGCAGGGCTTCGATTTCTTCTTGCTGCCTTTCGACTTCTTCCTTGTACTGAGAACGAATAACGTTCGCTTGGTCCAGCGCACGATGTCTTTCGTCCTCGATCGCTTGCTGTAGCTCTCGGATCTTGTTCTGTGCGTTGGCCAAGTCATGTTGTAGACCTCCAGACTCATCCGTTAAAGCGCTGTGTCGGGTTTGTAGCAGTTCTTTCTCATCAGCCTTGCGCTGAATTTCGTCCAGTGCATCCTGCAATTGAGCTGCCAACTCATCACGTTCTTGCCGAGAAAGGTCACGTTCCCGTCTTGCCTGCGCGATATCGTTGTGGAATTTGCGCTCCTTGTCATCAAAGCTCCGCTGGCCATCCCGATACTGCTCTTCGAGACGATTCTCGTTCCGGGCCTTGTTTTCGAGTTCTCTCTTGAGAGTACTGTTCTCCTGCTGTAGACTCCGTAAGTCCTCCTCAAGCTTGTTCGCCTTCTCTTCGAGCTGGCGGGTTAGTCCACTCGTGCTGATAGACTTGTTCGCCATTTCATCATGCAATTCCTGGAGGTCTAGTTGGGCCTGTTCCTTCTCCTTGACGGCCTCTAGTCCGGCGTTTCTCGCTTCCCTCGCTTCTAGCTTAGCTTGGCTTAGCGAATCTTGCAGCTCTTCCATTTGCTCTTTCGCACGTTGAAGTTCTGTTTCCAGCTCAGAGAGAGCATCGCGCTCCTTGCCATCTCTATCCTTCAATTCTTCTATCTCCTCGTCACGTTCGTCGATCGTCCGATCCTTCTGCCTTAGCGATGCTTCCAGATCCTCAATTTCATCTCGGAGCTTCTCCATCTCCCGTGATTGCTGGTCCTTTTCGTCTCGTAGCTCCTCTTGGAGCTCTCTGATTTGGTTGTCCCGCGCTTCCACCTCCTCCCTCATCAAGTCCATCTCGCGCTGTATTGTGTCGTCCGATTGTCTCCTCCGTGACTTTTCCTTCAGCTCCTGGAATTCGATGCGATAGGATTCGAGTTCGCGCTCGGCCTGTTGGAGGCTCTTCTTGTATCGTGCAATGTCGCGTTGCATGGTCAATTTCGAAACCTTGAGTTCGGTGTTTTCCTTCAACGCTGCTTGATTGTGCGAGGGGCCCGCCTTCTCCAGTTGTTCTTGTAAGAAGTGAATTTTCAATTTCAATCCAAAATTGTCTTTCTCGAGTTGGTCAATCATCTAAGATAGTCAGTAAAAGCTCCGTCAAGAGGGCGAAAGTCTTCTCAGGACGCAGTAGGTTACCTTTTCCTGTTCCCGCAAAGACATCATATTCTGCTGCCCGTCCATGCCTCCTTCCCTGGACAGAGCCGGGAGCGGTGTACTCTGCATGCTACTGTCCTGAGGCATCGGGGTCCGCTGCTCATCCGTCGCGTCTTCTTCATCGATATCCGTCATCTCCATCGACGGCAATCCAGGGGTGTTGACCGCGCTCAACGAGCTCGTTCGCGTATAGCCTGGCGTCTTGGAGCCATGTCTTCGCGTCATGGACACGTTCTTCAGGAAGTTGTTCTTCGTCGCGCTTCTCATCAGGGGGGTAAACTCCCCCTTCGGAATGGCCGTATTTGGGAGCCCGTGTCGACTGTTCAACGCGCTTCTACTGGCCTTCGGGCCGGAGCCCGCCCGCGGCGTGCTGAGCTTGAAGCCCCCGGGCGAGCGTCTCGCGTTCTCCGCGCCTCCGAACCCCTTGAGCACATCGTTGTCTTTGGATGGCGTGTGGAATGAGTTTTCGACCGAGTCGAGTGCGGTTAGGTTGGGTCGGCCCACGCTGCGATAGCCGTTGGTGAGATAGGTCGCGTTGCCGTCCACTTCGGTGCGCGGCGTATCGATGTAGGGCCACGGCATTGTTGTCGTCGGGCCGCGAGGAACACGCGATTGCTGCAAGATTGGTCGGCTAAGGTAAGATCAAAGTGAGTTCCATTCAAGGAGCGACCACCCCCGACGGCTGGACAATCATTCAGGGCGTCAAAAGCACGCGACAAGGGTTCTCGTGGTACGGAAGGGAAAAAGTGGTGGGGAACAAGATGCGACGATGCAATACGGGAGCTTGCCATGGACGTGTTTTGGGCGGTGAAGAGGACGAATACTGTATTGTTGACATCTAGCCCAATCTGGCTTAGTGTCAAGGCTCTCGAGGCGCCGGGCCGGGGAATTTGCCGCTGCTTTTTTGTCCCGCCCAAGTATGAAGTCATGTCTTGCCCGTAATTTATTTCTCTCTGCTCATTTTCAGCTCATTTCCACGTCACTCACAATTTAACAGCCCACATTTCGATTCTGCAACAAGTCGGCTTGGGATCCGGTTCTCAACATGGCGCCCATGTCGGAGGAGGATCTTGAGTGGTTCAAGTCCACCTTTCGCCCCATTCCCAAGCCAGAGATTCCGGACGATACCGTTGATTATGCGCTTTATCACATCCCTTCTAGCCCCGCCCCCGCTACGGTCGACGAGGTTGCAGAAACGCGAGCGCGAATGGTCGAGGTGCAAAAGACTGCTGCGGAGCTGACAAAGGACCTGTTAAAGGATTATATCTGGCAGCGCGAAAGTTTCCGGTTGGAGATTACCAAGGATAATGGTATACCCATCCATCCATGCCTGATGCGCCTTGGTACTGATTGACTTGCAGGGGTAACATCTTTACATGGGCGCACCAATTTTGGAGACTCCATCGAAGACGAATGGGTTATTGTGTACATGTTGCGCGAACTGACCAAGAAGCACAAGGATGTATGGGCCAGAGTCGTGGATGGTGACGGGCAATTCCTTCTTGTGGAGGCCGCTGCCACCTTGCCTGCGTGGCTGGAACCGGACGTCGCTGAGAACAGGGTTTGTCACTGTGCTGTCGGATTCATTATACCCTTCTGGCTTCGCTAACACCTGTATCAATCCCAGGTATGGATCAACAAGGGCGAACTCGTTATCATCAAACCGAAAAATGATAAGAAGGACAGAGTCACGGAGAAATTGTCGTTTACAGATGCGAGGAAGATCATAATGGAGGAACCCGCGCGACTGATGCGCTCGACCATGATACAAGAGGAAGCTTTCTATCGTCTCCGCAATTACCCTAAACAGATCGACGAGAACCTCCATTCCGCATTGGTCACCATCCCCCGCAAGGTCGCTTTCTTGCTACATCAGAAACCCGCCTATATATCTGCCGCCGTAGAGGCCTTTTACCTCAGAGACCCGATCGCATTACGGCCATTGCGTTCGAAGGACATCAGCAGCTTCATCTTCAAGCCGGAGGACTTCGTTACGGTCAGCGTGCGCTTTACCCGGGTCGGTTACGCACAACTTAAAAGTCAAGACTTCCCCGTTCCCAAGTCCTGGGCCGAGAAGTTGCCGCCGAAGGACGATCAAACGGCCTATGGACGGGCAGAAATAGGCATGAAGCTGGCTTGCGGGTTTGAAATGCTCCTCAACGACCCTCAAAACCAGGATAAAGCCACAGTGAGAGAAATGAACCTCATCCTGGAAGATCTGGACACTGGAGACGAACAGTTACCGACAGATGAAGAGATACGAACCTGGGACCAACGGGAAGATGACGAGAAGTGGCTAGATATCAGCTTTGAGGATCTAGACCAGGAACTGAAAGGCAAGGGAAAGGGCAACGACGACGACTCGAGTGCACGGGGTGCTTTTGGTGACTCCAATGCACAGGAGAACTTGCAGCGCATCGTGGCACAGTTTGAAAAATTCCTCAATGACGACTCAGCTGGCTTCGAGGGAGCGGAATTTATCGACGACTTCAGCTCGGACGAAGATGATGCAGATGATGATGAAGATGAGCTGAGCGACGACGGCGAAGATAAAGAAGCCTCGTTCAATGAAGAGGAGTTTTCAAGAATGATGGCGGAAATGATGGGAATGCCGTCTGGCTCAGGCCACGGCCAGAGGGGCGTATTTGGGCACCCACCGCTTAACAGAGTTCAGGAGCTGGACAATGATTCCGAAGACGACACAGAGCAGATTAAGGAATTATCAAGACAGATGGAAGCGGAACTTCGAGGTACCGGAGTTCTTGATCTAAACCGCCGGCCTAAGGCAGCTCAAGATCAGCGGAAACTGGGGGAGGGCAAATCGGGCGAGGAAGAAGAGGATGAGATGCCAGATCTAGATGAGGGCGATTCTGATATCAACCTTGCCAAGAATCTGCTTGAGAGTCTCCATGGTCAGGCAGGTGTTGCCGGGCCGGCAGGAAACATGCTCTCTATGATGGGTTTCAAAATGCCGAAGGATGACCGCCATCACTGATTATTCGAAGCCACCAGCTTCGACTTTTTAAAATGGTGAGCACTGGCGAGCAAAATCCGTCCTCACGTCTAAATGTTGACATCTGCGCCAATATTCTCACTTTGCGCGACTGCAGGTGGCCGCAGAATGGCTGTCCTGCTTCCGGAAACAGCTGCAAGCCGAGCAGGCCTTCGCGAATACTACTGAGTTTCGTGGTAAATGGCCATCGGGGATGATTCCTCCATGTGCCAATACACCAATACCAAAGCATAAGGAACGAGGGAAAGGCTAACTCCCTCGTTGATGTTCATGCTCATCTGACCATGGACCGAAGGATCATGGAAAATACGCCCCTAGAAGTATATAGACACGAGGTTGTCATGGTGTGCAAACACATCAGCACACCGACAAGTTGAACCTCTTCATAAATATTTGTAAATGTCGTGATGCTTATCGATTGATATATCTTTAAATCATGCCATACTCGACTTGACGAGACTTAATCTTATGATAGTAATTGGGTTGCAGATCATCCATCCCATCGATGCTCAGTCACGGATAAACCCGTCCCGAATCCGCTTCTCAACAGCATCACGTGGGATAATAATGTCTTATCGGCTTGGGTGTCGTCAGCCCCGTTTCCCCCCTCTTTCTTCCCCTCTCTCCGACCCCTCTTTGGCCTCCAACGGACTCAATTCCCGGGCGGATTTGAGGTCGTGAGCTGTGCTCTACGGGCTCTCTGGCTTTTTCCATCGTTGGCTGATTTTCACTACGACCGCTTCGATAGCCGTCAAACATCCTAACCCCTAGACCCATTAACCCGGTCCAATCTCAAGCAGCCGTGCATCCCGTCAGGTCGGACGGAAGTGACAGCCGTACTCGTCACGATCTTCGATCACCAGGAAACTGAAAGAGCCACAGCCCGGCTGATCCGGCGGCGAGATCGAACAGAAGTAAAAACAAACCTAGCCATTCTTGCCGCAACCTCAAAGAGCCCCTCCAAGATACAAGAAAGCCCAAGGGAGAGATGGCAACGCCGGCCCACTGCTACTATTGCTTCGAGAGCCTCGCAGCCTCCTACCAACGCAAGGAACCCATCGACCTGGCCTCAGTCGAGGAACTGTGGGCCCGCCATGAACAGTTCAAGAAACTCTCCGCGCTGCAGGAAACCGAAGACGAGACGGACTACTCGCTCAGCATAGACGACGAGGAAGAGGAGCCCGCGGGTGTTGGGGCTCGGAAGATCAAGCTGCCCAGCGTGCACCGATTGCAGTCCAGTTCCAGCTCGACGACGACGCGTCCCTCGTCCCTCAACTCCTCGCACTCCACGCTGACCACGTCCACCACACTGACCACCCCGGGGTCCGCCTCGCTCTCCGACACCGCCAGCGGCCGCTCGCGTCGCGAGGAGCCGCCCGAGCCCCAAGAGTACCCGCTCTTCGTCACCTGGAATACGCTCTCGCGCCACGGCCACAAGTCTCTCCGCGGGTGTATCGGGACCTTCGAGGCCCAGGAGCTGTCCGAGGGCCTGCGAGACTACGCTCTTACCTCGTATGGCCCACACCCCCAAAAAAGATTTCATTCTCGCCACATGAGAATACTGACGAAATCCTCGATAACAGTGCCTTCGAAGACACCCGCTTCGCCCCCATCCCTTCCACCCTCCTTCCCTCCCTCTCCTGCTCCCTAACCCTCCTAGGCACCTTCGAACCCTGCACCAACGCCCTCGACTGGATCCTCGGCCTCCACGGCCTCCGCATCTCCTTCATCCACCGCGGCCGTCGCTACGGCGCCACCTATCTCCCCGACGTCGCCGTCGAACAGGGCTGGACCAAGGAGGAGACCGTCAAGAGCCTCATGCAGAAAGCCGGGTGGGACGACCACAGCAACAGCAGCAACAGTAACAGCGGCAGTGCCGCGAGGCGGTTCCTCCGGGGCGGGGCCGGCTCGAGTAATAATCATAGTAGTAAGAACAGTAGTGGCAGTACGGCGGTCAAGCCGCCATGGGACCAGGTCTCGGATTTCCGGGCGGTCAAGTATCAGGGGCTGAAGGCGAGTTGTACATATGCCGAGTGGCAGGAGTGGCGGCGGTGGGTGCGGGGGCTGGGCGATGGGAGTGAGAAGTTGTTGGTTGGGTGATTTTATTTCCCCGCCCCTCCTCATGAATAGACTTGCTTTTGGCTGGGATATTTGGGGGGTGAATCTCTAATAATGATGATGATAATGATGATCTAATGATGTGAAGGGAATGGGGCGCTTCATTGTTGGAGGGGAACTTTTTTTTTGTTTTTGTTTTTGTTTTTTTGTGGATAGGATTAAGACATAAACTTCGTTCTTTTTAAAGCTCGACGGACTATCGGCCGCTGAAGATAATAGTTCGTAGTTGATAGGCTCCGATCTGGATTTGGAACCAGTATGCAGCGTCCGTCGGACCCGAAACACCGTATGCATATTGGTGAGATTATATTGGTAGGATCGACCAGAGAGACATCACAATATATCAGCCAAGAAGCGAGGGAACAAGCGAGGAACAACGGAAAGAGGTATCTAGGCTATATTGAGCACCCGACAGACACAACACATGTGATTAAGTCATATCATCTCTTCGCAGATTTGCTCCACAACCCTGCCACCGTCTCCTTGACCTTACGTTCTTGGGCCCGAATCTGCTCCTCCGTCTGACCACGGGCATTGCCCCGTCCATCGATTTCCATCTCCCCATCGTGATCGGCACGGTCGCCCTGGTGATGGGGATGATACTGCTGTTCCTCGTAGACGTCGTTCCCGACGACACGCTCGGGCTTGGGATCGACGCTCATAACGCCGTCCATCATGAGCCCTCCTCCCTCGCGGAGCTTGTTGATGGCCCGCACCGTGTCGATGGCCTTGTGGAGCGTGCGTCGTGCGTTGAAGTTCTTCTTCACAGTCGGCAGGAGATCCTCTCCCGAGCCGAACTTGTCGACGTCTGTGTCGTAGGGCGGGTTGACCCAGGCATGTTGCAAGGCGGCGTGAGCCGTCATTCGCGCGGCGGGGTCGATGGTCAGGCAGCGTTTGATGAAGTCACGCGCCTCGGGCGAGACGCCGCGCCAGTACTCAAGAGGCGTGAAGGAATAGTCCGCTGCAAGGATGGCCTGCATCTCTTCCAGGTTGGAGTCGCGGTCGAAGGGGGTATAGCCGCAGAGTAAGAAGTAGGTGATGACACCAATGGCCCAGATGTCTCTGCAAAAGGGACCTGGTCAGATACGTTTGATTTAAAATGGATAAATGCAAGGTGCTCGGGACGAGGATATTTCCCCGATTGCAAACTGACGTACACTGGTTTTCCATGGCCGCTTTTCTTGAAGATCTCAGGTGCCATATACCCAGGCGTACCGCATGTCGTGGTGAGAACGTGAAACTGCTCCTCGTCCATGATCCGGGACAGGCCAAAGTCTGCAATTAACAGATCTGCGTTGTCCTCGGGAGTCCGGAACAGGAGGTTCTCTGGCTTGAGATCGCGATGCACGATGCCATGGTCATGTAAATAGGCAACCGCAGACAAGATCGCACGGATGAGATCCGCTGCGTCGGATTCGTAGTAGCTGCCTTTTCGACAGATACGGTCGAACAGCTCTCCGCCGAGCGCAAGGTCAGTGACCAGGTAAACTGAAGAATAGATTAGCGTCCTAGAGCCCTGCGCTTTTCGAACCCAGTACAATGGGATGACATACGATTGTTCATGGTCTCAAAATAGTCGACCAGGGTCAGTATGTTTTGGTGACCCATCGATACTCTCTTTAGCACTGCGATCTCATTCCGGACCTGTCAAGGTGCACAGATCGCCCATACAATTAGCCTCTCTGCGATCGTATTTGTGCATCCCATATGGCCGGTGCTCGTTCAAGAAGAATTACCATGTGCTCGCGCCCAGCCATCAGGCGTTTATTGATCACCTTCGCCGCATAGTAACGGCCCGTATCGATGTGCACGCATTCCTTAACCACTGAATAAGAGCCGGCGCCTAGCGTCTTGCCAGTCTTGTACCGACAAGGCTGGACCTTGGGGCGCTGGGTTGTTTGCGCTGGTGATGCCATGGATCCAGAGCAATGTAGAAATCCGAGGATGTATAGAGTCGATAGAAGAGGGTGATAGAGGCAAGAAACGACAACAGCCGGTGCTGCCACGAGCTCAGCGGAGACAGCAAGGAGGAGAAAGTGAGCTGATAAGTGAAGTGCCTGTGAAACGCGGCCCCACAGTCAGCTTAAAGTGAACGGAGAACAGCAGCAACAACAACAACAACAACAACAACAACGGCGACCCTGAAGAAACGGCTACTAATGGGAAGATCGGCGTACAGAGGGAACAGACTTCCGAGCTCTCGTCCGAGCAGGGAGATGTTGCGATCCGTTTGGGAAAAGGGGCAGAATAGAAAGGAGGGACTGTATTGTCCTATCGCGATCGGCTTGGGTGGTGGGGAGTGCATCCGACTGCGGGGTCCGCGGTGGAAACTTGGCCACTGACGGATCAGGTACTCGAGTACTCGAGTACAATTCGGTGACTTGACTGAAAAGGGGGCGTTTATGAATCGGTGTATCCGTGTGTCTAGGTCGGTAGTTAGAATGTCAGAGAAGAAAAGAGACAGCTGTCGAAAGTCAAATGTGATCGAGGTTGTGATCACGGTCGATCGAGCATGCGACTGCGGATTACCTTACACCTTACCTTATCCTTTTGGGTCGAGTTCATTGGGTGGCGCACGTGCAAGCCTACTGTAAAGTACAAATCGCCAGGAGAACAACCAGAGAACATTTAGCCACAATCCAGTACTATGTATGCACTTGATCTATAACTATATACAAAAATGCTCATGTGCAAGGCTATGCTTAATGCCCCATGAACGCCAAGGTATCCAAAGCTATTATCCCCTCCTATCAGAATTTACCAAACAGGGTATTGTCACCAACAAACCTAACGCTTAGCACAAAGACCCAACCTGAACCATATTACATCTGTTCTAGAACTTCCCCCACGACAGTCTCCAGCAGCTTGAGGTTGTGGAACTTCGCAACACTATCGAGGAGTCGTAGCTTCTTCTCAATCTCTCCGCGGTTCATCGTTTCCACCCACACCCCGCTGCACGAACAATGCTCCATGAAATCACTGATCTTCAATCCCCCACACTTGGAGCACTTGAGGTCCTGAATTTGCCAGCCAACAATAAATCCTTGTACCTGGCCAATGAGGGTCTCCTCCTGCGCGAGCCGGTCATACTCGCTTTGACAGAAGGGACAGCGCCAAGGTTTCACCGCAGATTTGTTCGACTCCGTGCCAGGATCAGGAAGCACATCTTCATCTCGGCACAAGTCCAGGTCTCGAATCAGACAACAGGCGTTGCAGGTGAGCTCAGGGAGTTTCAAGCTTGCTCCGGGGTTCTCGAATCGACCTTCTTTGCTGAATTCACGAATCTCGAACAGCGCAAGGAGCTCCCGACGCAGGAGTCGTGTCTCCATGGTGGTGATCTTGGACAGACTGAGTACCTGCATCAGCAGTTTGACCAATTCCAGAACTGGGTTGCGTTTCTCGTCATTGGGGTTCGAAAGCACACCAGGAAGGACAGGGAAAGCATAGTCGGATGCCAGCTCCGGGTGTAGCAATTCATCCCGCTGTCGGCGAATTAGACCCGTGATCTGCTTTTTCAACGGTTTAGAGAACTTCTCGGCGAGAACAGCCGAGATCTCTTCACTTTCTTCATCACTTGGGCGCCCGATGGGGATCTGCGTCATCCGAGGCGTCGATGAGTCGTTATCAGGGCGTTTCAGGCCGTGCATCAATTCGATGTACTCAACTACCCAGTCATGGAAGATAGTTTGCATGGGCGTGGGTAGGAAGCGACTAAGCTGCCAATGCATGACCGTCTCCAAGGGCTGCTCGTCGGACTCGGCCACTTCTTGGCATCCTTTGCCACCATAATTGTATTCATCGTACCAGAGTAAATAGTCCCAGTATTCCTTGATCTCGAGGTCGATGAAGTGGAATGACGGATTAGCCCGAATGGACTTCAAGACGTACTGGCTGAATGCATATGCGTTGCCGACTTCCGTCTTGGTTGTGTGGAGTAGAAGGCGAGTGGAGCTCGCGAAGATGATGTTTGCACCCACCCGTCTGAATTCGGCCATCAGTCTCTGGAACGACTTCCTTGACAACATGCGCACATAATGGTGCAGTGATTGATCATATAGACAGGAAGCGGGACTTTCCACCCATCGGATCAAATGCTGCACCATGATATCGGCCATACTGTTTCCATCACAAGCCTCAGTCCACCAATTCTTCACCATTTCCCGCAGAACAATGGCTCCGGCTGAAGTGAACGCCTTATCCGAATAGAGCACCCCTCCATTTGCGTCAGCTGATGTGCCAGATGATGCCAGCAGTGTATCTGCTCCCTCCATTTCGTTGATGATGGATGAGGTCAGAATCGTGTTGATGGCGAGGTTGCGCACTTCGAGCTCGATACACACAGTGGTATATGCGTTTGGCATATTTACGGACGGCATAGGAACTTTTTCCAGAGGGCCTGTTATGTCGTCTTTCTCATAGCCGGCATGGTCAGGCCTAGGGTTTGAGGACCACCAAAGCACAACGTTATTCTGTTGAAGACGCCTGGCATAGGAGATATCGATCATGAAGCGAGGATCATCGTTCTCCAGATTGCAGAGAGGAACATCACCGTACCTGGCGAGCAAGGTCATGTGCTGCACCCAAGCAGAGAGATAAAGATAATGTGTAACCAAGCGCCGGGCAACAAAAGTCTGCCAACCCAAGGGCGGAAGTTCCATGTCTGAAACCTCGGGCTTCACAGGTAGAATAGGGTATTCCTTCAATATGGGCACATCGTGACACAGACGGCTTCTTTGATGAGACTGAATGACCATGATGGCAGGCTGAGTCTCCTCGGATCTCAGTTTCTTAATCAGATCCCCCACCTCCAAGTGAGCTTTCCTTCTTGTGGTCACCTGCGTGGTCTTGAAATGAAGCTTCTCCTGATACTCGAAAGCAGTTTGTGTGTTGTCCGCAGATAAGTTCTGCAGTCTGCGCGCACGAAGTTCCGCGTAAATCTTATCGACGTTTGGAAGGCCTTGAACGTCCCGGGTACGATTAAGAATCACGATGTGAGCCTCATTCTTTGTCGTGGAGAAAATAGCAAATATCTGCCTGTCACCAGAGGCAACATGATACAGATAGTGGTATGCCATAGGAGCGTCTAGCAGATAAGGCTGATCGGTATGCGTACGACAGAGAGTTGAGAGGTCAAATCCCTTGTCCAAGCCTTCTCCGAGAACGCCTCGCTGTTCCTCATCGAATGTGCAAACACTGCCGAGTTTGAGGACGGCACGAACGGTGAGAGGAATGCTCCTTTCATAAACACCTTCGACACTGGGGTGTTGCAGAAGGATATCGATCTTGTTGGCTTCGCGAATGTATGTCTCCTCCGATAATGTCAACTTGAACAAATGGACTGACGGATGTCCATTTGGTAGTGTATGGTTGACTTTCTCAACTTCACAGTCAGGGACATCCACATCCGGAAGAGAATCCTGTTTCAGGTTAACGTATATCTGTCGGGGAACCTTAACAGTGAGTGCGTGGACTTTCCGATCGATCAGGACAAATGCTCGCACGATACCAGGCCGTGATGTTTCGGCAAGCTGTAAGACCTGCCATGTATTGATATACAATAGCTCCGCCTGGTTGCGGAAAAGATTGCTCAAGGAATCGGTAGCAACATTGACCCGCTCTCCGAACAGCTGACGACGACGGATCCGAGCCTGTTTTTGGATTTTCCATTTCTGCTTCTGATACTTCAGGAACCCAACGTAATCATCTGTGATTGATGGCATCTTGGCTGGTAGAGTAGCGAACGGATCGAGGGAGGTTTTGGGAAGACCTTCAGGATGTTTTCTCTTTTGAGAAACCTTGCTTTCGGGTGATGATTTCGACTTTTGTGTGGAGTTGCCAATCACCTCATCCAGGTCACCAGCATGTTGGACGCGATGATCAAGGATGTTTGTGGAGATGTCTGTCAATGGGGTCTTCTCTGACCGGGTGAACATATCCGTCATTTTCGTTTGCTTGAATTTGTCATCCTTCTGATTGATCCGCCTCTGCAGCCAGTCCGGATGTGCCACTCTGGGCACAGGGTTTCGAATCTTTTGTAGGGCAGCTGGGATAGTGATGAGTTTCTGCACCACAGAGCCCAGGCGCTCGAGATAGTAATCCCAGTCAATGACGGTTCGAGGATCCATATCACCAGGGTCATCTTTCAGCCACTTTCGTAAGAAGAAGCGTTTGACACTTTCCTCGGCTGAGAAAATGGCCACAGGAATGGCTCGCTCAGTTACAGGAGTGTTCCTTGGCCTCGAAGAAATGATATACTTGCAGTTCAAGCCCTTATCTTTGACCATTTGTTCTCCCAAGAATTCTGCAAGGCGCCGAGCGGTTGTAATAGATGTCGACTTCTGGTTCCCATATTCCTCGAGCGTCTTGGTCATGCTTCTGTTCTCAGAGATGAGCTCAATCAGTTCCTCATCGGCCAGAGTCGCACCATGCTCGTACAGCACGTCTAACCACCGATCAGCCACTTTTGCTACTGCAGCGTAAGTCTCGGTAAGCGTAGACCCTTCTAAGAAGAAGCGGAAAATCTGGGTCTGGAAAATCTTGATGAGCTTCAGCTCTCCTCGACGCTTGACCTCGAAACCCTTCAGTTCCGCCAGAGACCCGTCATGATTGAAAACAGCATAACGTTTCTTCAAGTTCTTATCTTCCTCCTTGGAAGTGGGCAGAATCATCGCTCTGTACGGCCCGTCAACCTCAAAGAAGATAGAGTTGTCGCTGTGGGTCTCATATCTGAATGAAGTTGGGTCGACAAGAGTCTGATATTGGTGGTTGGTGTAGCTTCCGTGCACAAGGTGGTTGAGCATGACACAGGGATAGGAGATACCAAGCTTTTTGCCGTTCTTTAGAGTGAAGGTGAAGTTCTCGGGAAACGAACCAGGAAGCATACACCAGATACCGTCAGTATCGAGCTCAAGAGGGCGACCGATACGTTCAACCAACTCTCGTGCCATCTGAATAATGCGAGCTCCGGTCAAACATGTCACGCCAGCCATTTCCATGGAATACCACCGAGAACCCTTTCTCATCACATAACCGTAGAAACTGTTTAGAATGACTTTGTGGGCGAGCTGCAGGGAGTCGTACAAGATAATCATCTTCTTCGCCTCATCAATTTCTGCAGCCGATGCACCAGATGATTTCAGGGCCTCAGTCTTGCCTTTCCAAACCTTCTGCTTCCCCTTGAAGTCATATCTTCGATCACGGAAACTGCGAACAGTGTCGACATAGAACGGATTCTCCCGCTGACAAATGATAGCCTCTCTGACTATCGTTTTGCTATCGTGAATCTTGTGATATATCTTTTTACTGTAATCCTGCAGTCTTTTTTTGACGATACCGGCTTGCTCTTCAATACTCAAGTCACCAAACATCCTCATTGGGCTATTTTTATATCTTCCGGGGAACTTCTCGTTCGAAACTGCATGGCGAATCATGTTGTACTCGTCGCGTTTGGCAGGAAGAAATTCACCTCTCCAAGCCCATGGCATTCGTCTGTCGCAGGTCTTGCCGGGCCGATTAAAATCACAAGCGGCACAGTTGGACTCTTCAATCATGGAGTCTGGTTGCAGCCGGTTTGTGATCATGATGTTCGGATACATGGAAGCGACATCCAAGTGGTAAATGAAAGGAACCTCATCCCTATGCGGCTTCTCTTTGAGGGCCATCAACTTATCAGAAATCTGTTTCTTGACCTCGTCGTAATTGGTAACATCATCCATTGATTTCTTCTCTTCGACCTCAATGCTGAATTTCAGAGCCGCATCGAGATCATGGAGAAGTTCATCCACAGCAGCCGGGTCTACCTTGAAGGTAACTGGTATGTCGCTTCGGAAAACACCAGCCTCAATACTTTCGACGTGCCCTCCAACATAAGTCTCCGACTCGAGCAGATGGCCTTCGTAGAAAGCTTCTGGGGGATCTTTATGCTTGTTGGGTAGGACGATATTGCCCTGGTATGCTTGCACCATCAGAAGCATTTCGCAAAGCGTTCCAGTTCCCTTCCTCAGAGTGTCGTCGGGATTCAAAGGCAGAATTGTGCAAAGGGAGAAGATGAAAGGGTGGACATATTTCATATACAAGTAGTATGTTGCGACGGCATCGGACACCGAGTACTCCGCCAAAGTCTGCGGGCGCTCACTGGCGTACGGAGTCATCAATTCTGGATCTAGCTCGTCAGGATCGTATCCAAGCTTCGCGACGGTGACGGCTTTCAAGCCACGACTTCCTTGAGGAAGATAACTGTCACGATTGACCCAAGCGAAGCAGTCCATGTGCACACAGTGGTCGGCCTGGTAGATATCCTCGCTGTTCTTTCGGAAGCCAATCTCTTTGTACATATCGATGCCCAACACGCTAGCTCGTGCTTCGACGAAGGGCCAATCGAAGAAGTCACCGTTGTAAGTGGCAATGACCGTCGGCTTCGCCTCTTTGATATGCTCAAAAAATCGTTCGATGACACTCCGTTCGTCTGGCTCGTTGAAGATCATGAATGGCCCGTTGTATTCGGCTTTTGGCGTGTATTCGAAGTCGTCGATGTCCTCAGACACAATTTCTCGGTTTGTGATAAGGAACCCTTGGCCATCAATCATATAAGATATCATCATGATCTGATCAATCACGGAATCCGGGAATTTGAGAGGTAATTTAGTTGTTTCGATATCGAACGCGAGAATGACAGGATCGGCACGAGTAAGTCGCTCTTCTATACAGCTCAGTGAGATAAATCCGTGTTTCGACTCGACCGTGTACCACTTTCCTATACGAATGTCTACGAAAAAATTAGCCGAGAGACTTTGAAGGAGCAGAAGCGACCTACCTTTATCGATAGAAACTCGGACATGGTATGGGACATCATATTCCCTAATATCAACAATAAAATCGCTCGCGTTCATAGTGGCATTAGATCGTGACTCGTTAATTAATTCATCATCAAAGAGGTCGAAACCAGCATTTCCGCTTCAATAACTCAGTTAGTTTCAATGACCATAGACTCCCAGGGTTTCAAACTATACCTCGACATCTCCACATAAGCATCCATCGCTGTCGCATTCTTCTTGTTCTTCTCCGCCAGAGGCAAGATGGTCCTTCGTACTTCCAGCAAGTGGCTGACATTGGCGAAGCTTAGTTGAAGATAGTTCCGGCGGTGTCCGAGTAGATGGTTCGGCAACGAAAGGTCCTCCTTCTCCACGCGCGTCACCTTCTTGACGAGCCCTTCAAACATCCTGCGACACCACTCCTCGACCTCCGCTTCGTGGCCTTTCTTCACGGCAATCAAGAAATAGGGGTCGTATTCGACTGTCGCCTTGAAGCTGGTGCCACCATCCTCGAGGAAGTAGTAATCGACACCAGCGCGTCCACCGGGGACATTCGGATCCTGGATTGATGTGCTGTGCATGTTGATGAGCCATCCCACTCGCTTCTCACCGGCTTCGAAGCGCGGGAAGCCCAAGGACTCGTCAATGCTGTTCGCCAGCCGGATGCCCTCGAATTTCTCATCTTGAGACGTAGCTTCTGTTGATCTGAGAGACGCGAACTCGACGGTCTTCGTTCGTCTCGGGTTAAATGTAGCGGCACCAGATCGAAACTTGTTGCCGAATTTGCTAGGTTTTCTTGAAGGCATTGCGACGACGTGCCCACCGGCCGGGCCTGAGGATCACTGCAAGATTCGGAGATGATGTCGATAGAACATGGAAAAAAAAATAGAGGTTGATGGTTCAACAAGGGACAAGGGGGCACATATTTCGCAGCCCTTGCTAGAGTGGTGATTTTTCGTGTGAGAATATTCAAGGTTGTCTGTAAAGTTGAGTATCTCGATTGCATCTGAATCGACCCGATCCACTGTATGCTGCGGAGCCCACCAGAGTAAATTGAATTTCGACCTGCGCCATTCCAACGCGTTCGCGTTTCTACTTTACGCGTGCCATTGGTCGATCGCCCTGACACGGGGAAACTATCCGCTTTTGTCGTACCGCCGGGCAGGCTCTCGGATCGCGGAATCGTCCGAATGTCCGCGGCCTTATTGTGTCTCTGCGAAGAAGTTACGCCCGCATTACCGTACGAGGTGATTGCTGCTGCTGCGATTGAATTAAAACAAAATCACATCATGGCTGACGATACGCGGGGCTCCACAGCCATTGCTCCCGAGCAAAGGGAGCCGGAATCGCAAAATACTGCATCGGATTTCACATCTCAAAAGAAGCTGAAACATGAGATTCCTCAATCGCAAGTCGGAAAACTTTGGGATGCATTTGGAAACCCTGAAGAGCCTGTCAACATGCTTCCTTCTGCTGGGGTCAAGTCCGGAAAGAAGCACGCTGACATCACGGTCACCGAAGCTATGAAGTCTATGTCGTTGGAGAATGCTACGTCTTTCTACAAAGCACCCTGTGCTCGAGATTCGTTGCTTATCGGAATCGGCGCCGGGTTCGGTGTAGGTGGGGTGAGGGGTGTCATTGGAGGTAAGTCAAATCCACCAGCTCGCCCTAAACTAGTCATTCTCTGAGCACTGGCTAACTTATTCTTTCCTCATATCAGGGCTGCCCAAGATTTGGACTGCCTGTAACTGGGCCGTGGGCGCATTTGCCATTACCGCCCTCGCAACACATGAATTCTGCCAGCGACGTCGAGTACAGGAATTGGACGGCATGAAACAGGCTGTGGAGCTGATGAAGGAACTCAAACTTAAGAAGCAGCGTGAGAAGGAGCAGAAGGAAAAGGAAGCTGCGCGCCTGGCGGAAGAAGAGAGGCAACGGAAGAGTTGGACCAACCCTTCCAACTACAAGTTCTGGTAGAGTCAATTGCACATCGCGTGGAGTCTTGGAGTATGCTTTCAGGAAATCATTGTATATTATTATATGTCATGTGGTATGCATGTCAGGTACATACATATTGTTCTATTCAAGAGCTCCATTCATGTCCACTTGTTCGCTTCGGCTAGTTCAATGCCAAGGCATCAAGCAGCGACCTCGAAATCGACCATCTTTCCGTGCAGGATCGTTAGATAAAGGTGGAGCAGTAGCCCCCAAAAAAACTGCTAGAATGCTTGAGAATCGCACTCAATTGCCTCCGTGGGCTTGGCTGCCTATACCATCACATGCTGAATTTGACTCTCTTCTGTATGGCACCACTTTGAATGCTTCGAATCTTATCCAGATCGGCACCATCGCGTCGCTCTCTTCGCTTTTCTCGTGCCTCTCTTGCTTCCCGGTTTTTCCATTCTGCGACTTGTTTCTGCCTCTTTTGCGACCTGGCCCATGCGATGGCTGCAGTAGGCTTGAAACCGATGCCATTAATCCCGTAGCCATCATCACCCGGGTCTGAAGGGTTGTGTCCAGTAATCTCCGAGTCATGCCATGTAAGCGGATTCTCAAGCGCATCACCGGTGAGGGGTGGTGAGCTTCTCGCGCTGCGCATTTTGGATGTGGCCGATGGGTTCTTCTTCTTGCGCGGACTAGAAATTGACTGCCTTTTTCTAGACGATGCGGAGATGCCAGTGTTGAGATTATCAGAGTGGAGATGGCATGTGTTTTCCGTCGACTCGTCTAGATTAGGCTGGTCTTCAGCGTGAGAACTAGTTTCGGGCATTTCGCGAGGCCCAAAGATAGAGTCGTATAGAACAGGCCAGCATCCCGACGGCACCGAATGCGTGACAGTGCTCTGATCTAACCCATATGGAATTGGGGGAGTTGGTAGACTGTCTCCACGGATGGCCAGTTCTCCTAGGCGACCGGCCACTACCGCTCGAGGGCTATACCTTCCTAAGTCTTCTGTTTCTCGAAGTCTGGCTTCCTGAAGGCTGACTATCGAGACAGTAGATGTGGGTGACGATGGACTGTACTGGTCGGTATCCTCGGACGATGCCCTCTTGCGCTTAGGGGAGTTAAAGGGCATAGTCGTCAAACTCGAAGACATCATCGCGGGGCGAAATCTGCAAGCGGATGTGGGGGCATCACAGCGCCCGAGCGCCAGTAGTTTGGGTTGGAAGAAGTACCCAGCAACTTGTAGGTTCAGGCAAGACGTTGGTCAGCGTTTTAATGGATCAATATCAGAGACAGTAGATGAAGCCATCATGGCGAAGAAGCTGCGGGAGATCTGTTGTCATGATAGGAAGAAAGGGGGAGGGGGCTAGAGTACAACAGGGTTGGATTATCCTTGGAGGTGAGGTGAAGTGAGGGGGTTCGGCACGGCTTGGTTGGCCTGGATTATACCAGGCGGTCCCTCCGACAGACAATGAATAAGCAATGTCTGACAGAGCAAACGTCAATGTGCAGCTGGTCTAGCAGTCAATCAACCAAACATGGATGCCTGCTCACACAACAAGGCACTCGATTTGTGTGCTGTGAGGGAGCGAGGAAAGTATAGAAAATCCCGATTTAGATTTGCAGAACTACAAGGAAATTTTAGAACGACACAGGCCTCAATCGAATAATTTACAAATACCCAGCCCGTCACGTCGTGAAGGAGAAAACAGAACATAGATGGCAAGAATAAATCAACCCGACAACGCCTCGACAATAATGACGCCCTCCTGTCCCAAGACTTGGTGGTGCTTCTAGACCTTCTTCTTCTTTTTGGACGGCTCAGCATCGCTGTCGTGCTTCCGCTTCTTCTTCTCCGACTCGCCCTCGCCGACGTCTGACTTGCGCTTCTTCTTCTTGTCCTCCTTCTCACCCTTCTCCTTCTTCTCCTTCTTCTCCTTCTTGTCCTTCTTGTCCTTCTTCTCCTTCTTAGCCTTCTTGTCTTCCTTGTCGGACTCAGCATCCTTCATCTCATCGTCGCTCTGCTCAGCGTCGATATCCATGTCGGCAAGGAGAGCATCCATGGCGTTTTTCTGCATGTTGTGTCAGTATATGGTCAGAATTAAATGGAAGTATCAATGTTTATAGACGTACCATGGCAACTTCGTTCTTGGTGGGTGCGGCGCCAGTAGCGTAAAACTCCAGGCGCTCCTCAACCTGGGCCTTTAGGGCCTCTCCAAACTTGGTGGAGGGCTCCTCGGAGAAGTTGTCAATTCTGGAGGCGATGGAGCACTTGTTGGCAAGGAAGCGCGAGATGCGACCCTTGTTCTTGGGACCGGCCCGGCCAATGAAGGACGAGTGGTAGAGGAGACCGTACTTAGGGGTGTTACCCTTGGTCTTCAAGGCTCTGAAGAGAGCCTTCTCAGCACCGAGAATCTGAACAGTAGAGGCGGGGTACTTGGAGAGGTTGGTCAAGCTTCCGGCGTGAGAGATGAGGCGAGCACCAACGATCTCGCCAATCAGAGCAGCAAGGTTAGGAGCAACAACGCTCATCTTAGAAACCAGGTAGGCGTGGAGAGACTTGCGGTACTTCGACAGGCTGACAACACGCTGAGCGAAAGAGATCACGTTCTCCATATCAGTCTCGGAGATCTCCTGACCCATACTGTGCTTAGCAGCATCGATAACGCTCTGGGCAACACCCTCATCATCCTCGACGAGAGCGGCAAGATCGTGCAGCTTGTCGTCAGTCAGATCCTTCTTATCCTTGACGAACAAGGCAACCTGAGCGTAGCGCTGGTTGTCCGAGACAATCTTAATAAGTTCAGGGAAGTGCCAAGAGTACCACTCGCGCACTCTCATCGAGAAAGTGTTGATAGCCTTGTCGAGTTGGTCGAGAATAGCAATGGCCTGGATGATGTGGTTGTCGTCGCGCTGAACGGAGAACTTAACCTTGGCACGGGAGTAGGCGTGACCGAGACCAAGCTGGGCAGTGTCGATATCACCCTCACGGAGTTGCTTGAGCAGCTTGGTGGCGTGCAGTCTGATTCCACGAAGCATATCCTGAACAACCTCGCTGGTCTCGCCGGTTTCGCAGTCGACGAAGTCAAAGGCAGACTTGATGCTGCCAGCAAGAGCCTTGTCCAAGAGACCCAGAACGACCTTCTTCTTCTTGTTGGGCTTGGGAAGATTCAATTCGAGGAAAGAGACGAGAGTGTCCGAGGCGACACCTTCCGAGATATCGTTGATTTCACTGAGGGCCTGCTTGTTGTTCCTGGGCTTGGTCAGTATTCTAGCGGGAAAAAAAGGCGAAAAATCCCCTCAAGGCTGGTTTGGCGTACTCAAAAGGCAGGAAACTGGCCAGCTCAACCATCTTTCCGAACTTAGCAAGGTCATCAACGCCTTCCTGAACCTCCTTCAAACGGTTGCCGACACTGTCACCCTGGTGGGCGACCTTGAAGAGAGAGTAGCCGATAGGGCCCTCCCAGAGAAGATAGTCGGCCATAGCGAAATTGAGATCAAGGCCCAAAAAGGTGTAAGAAAAGGTCCTTCACGTGCGAGCGACTGAGCCCGCTTCTCAATTTCCCAGGAATATGCGACCGTAGACCGGGCGTGGAGCGACGTGGAGTTGAAGAAAAGCCTAGGAGGGTAGATTTGCAGAGTCGAGCCGTCGGAGCTCTTTTTTTTCGCAGCGGCGCTAGTGCGAACACAGAATGTGGGCTTTTTGCCAAAACCAAAGGCTCACCGCATTCACGGCAAACACCACCGCTAAGGTTTCTGGCAGTGCGGGCATCCTCTATCGGGCCTATAGCAACAGCAAGCTTGTTCAATCTCAAGTCCTTTCGTTAGGTCCTTGCTGCTGGTCATTCAATCTTTTTGCAGAAATGTCTGCGACGCAATTACTCAACCCCAAGGCCGAGTCGAGGGTATGAGTTCCACTCCCCTTCCCCTCCTCCCAATAGCCCCTCAGTGGCCTCGCAGAGACTAACGGCTCACAGCGGAGAGCGGAGGCTTTGAAAGTGAACATTAGCGCTGGTGAGGGTCTCCAGGATGTCTTGAAGTCTAACCTCGGTCCCTCTGGAACGTTGAAGATGTATGCTTGGTGTCCCTGATAACTTCCCAACTTCTTATTAAGCTAACAGTTCATAGGTTGGTGGACGGTGCAGGCGGAGTATGATTTATTTCCTCCCAACCGGTCGAGTGAAGGTCTAACAACAAGGTTTCAACCAGATCAAATTAACTAAAGATGGCAACGTTCTTCTCCGTGAGATGGTAAGTCTATCTTGGTCAGCGCCTATTCCATCGCCTAGGGACTAATTGTAATAGCAAATTCAAAACCCCACGGCTGTAAGCTACCTTTCCGGTCATATATCGAAAACTCCTTTCTAATCACCTCAAAAGGTTATGATCGCTCGTGCTGCAACGGCTCAGGATGATATCACTGGCGACGGAACGACGTCTGTCGTCCTGTCGGTTGGAGAGCTCTTGAAGCAGGCGGATCGCTACATCTCCGAGGGTCTGCACCCTAGAGTCATCACGGATGGTTATGAGATTGCAAAGAGCGAGACTCTTAAGGTATGCTATCTCGGAAAATGTAATACAGTTTCGGCATACTGAAGTATGATGGCATATAGTTCCTCGACCAGTTTAAGATCGAGCGAGCCATCGACCGCGAACTCCTCCTGTCTGTCGCCCGGACGTCCCTCAGCACAAAGCTGAACAGCGCCCTCGCTGAGAAGCTCACCCCCGATATTGTCGATGCCGTCCTCGCTATCCACAGAGCTCCTGAGAAGCCCGATTTGCACATGGTTGAGATTATGACGATGCAACACCGCACCTCTTCCGATACCAAGCTTATCCGTGGTCTCGCTCTCGATCACGGCGCCAGACATCCCGATATGCCCAAGCGCGTGGAGAATGCTTTCATCTTGACACTAAATGTCAGCTTGGAGTACGAGAAATCTGAAATCAACTCCGGTTTCTACTACTCATCTGCTGAGCAGAGAGACAAGTTGGTGGAGAGTGAGCGCAAGTTTGTGGATGCCAAGCTACAGAAAATCGTGGAGCTCAAGAAGCTGGTTTGCGGCAACGATCCTAAGAAGAGCTTCGTTGTAATCAACCAGAAGGGAATCGACCCCCTGAGTTTGGATGTCCTTGTCAAGAACGGAATCTTGGCTCTCCGGAGAGCTAAGCGCAGAAACATGGAGCGTCTCCAGCTTATTTGCGGTGGTATTGCACAGAACAGCGTGGAGGATATGACCCCCGATGTCCTCGGCTGGGCTGGTCTTGTCTATGAGCACCAGCTTGGTGAGGAGAAGTACACTTTCGTCGAGGAAGTCAAGGATCCTAAGTCGGTGACTATTCTCATCAAGGGCCCCAACCAGCACACTATTGCACAAGTGAAGGACGCTGTTCGTGACGGTCTGCGCTCCGTTTACAACACCATCGTCGATGGTTGTGTCGTTCCCGGTGCCGGTGCGTTCCAAGTGGCCTGCGCCGGCCATCTGTCGTCCGACGCCTTTAAGAAGACTGTTAAGGGTAAGGCCAAATGGGGTGTTCAGGCTTTCGCCGATGCACTTTTGATCATTCCCAAGACTCTTGCAGCCAACTCGGGCCACGATATCCAGGACTCTTTGGCGATGCTTCAAGATGAGCTCGCCAACGGCAACAACGCCGGTCTGGACCTGACCACCGGCGAGCCGATGGATCCTGTGCAAGAAGGCGTTTTTGACTCTTTCCGTGTGTTGCGCAACTGCATTGCCTCTAGCACGGGCATTGCCTCGAACCTGCTACTTTGCGATGAGTTGCTCAAGGCCCGTCAAATGAGCAGACAGTCAGGACCTGGTGGTATGGAGGAGTAATGTGGCTTCTACAAACAAGGCATATTATGTAAAGCACTTCTGTGAATTTCTTCATCGGTCTGAAGGTTAGAAAAATACTCTACATCGAAAGTATGCTCAAAATTGGCCATATTGATGCATTTTGGCACACCCTAATTGAATTGAATATAATCCACAGAGCTTGAACTCCATCAAACTAGTACCGGGTCATTGGCTTAGGCTACCATAACCTGTTTCGATATGTGCTGATGGAGGTTTTTTTGATTTGTCCCCGGCCGCGGCGTGGTTCTCAAGGTCTTCGCATTGTGTCGCAAGGCCTGGGATTCATACACGCAAGTCTTTCTCTGCGGAGTTATTGAATCGGGATCCAGCCATACATGGCGTTTTCATACGGTCAGTAGCGTATGTAGATCGTAGTAATACAAAGGGCGCTGTTCCACAGACGCGCATACAGAAAGGCGCATAGGTGCAAGAGAGACTATCCATCACCGCTTTCATTACTGTCCCCATTGCTCTCTTCGTCCGAATCGGTCGGAGCCCATTTACCATGAAACCCCTCATCTTTAACCGGGTCCCACAAGGCCATATGATGAGACTTGGCCCATTCCAGAACGGTTGTCTTTCGTACTGTTACAATTGAGTCACCTCCAGCGCTAGTCGCTCCCGATGAATCCTTTGACTTCCGCTTCTTGGCCGGCGTGGCCGGCTGCACTACTCCCAGGCCCCTGAGAGCTGTGATGACGTCCTCGGTCAACATACCCGTTGCCAGACCAATGTCCTGCACTGTCATGAGCTCATGGGCGAGTCGCTTTTTCGGACCCTTAGGGGACTTCGACTTCTGTGGCACAGCAGAGTCCTCTGCGTCCTCGGCCTTCCAACCATGTAAGAGCAAGTGTCTGGCCACACGCTCCTCCCAGAAGCGCGCGTAACTCTTGCGACCCATCTCGCTCAATGGTCGCTCCGGCCCGCCGATCAACCCACTGTCACGCTCCCAGGAGCTGATCTTATAGCTGACCCCCATCAACAATTTCCCCAGCTGCTTGTGCTGGTAAGGGGGGAAGACCAGGATGCAGGCGAGATTGTTGGCATCCCAGGAGAGTTTTTCCTTCGAGAAAAACCCCAGCACATGGTAGGCATCGGGGTCGGCGGGGTCGGTGAACACGAGGAGGTAGTAGAAGAAGGACACGACATCGAAGAAGACCGACTTGTGATCAAGGAAGAGTTTCGCGAACAGGGAGAGGTTTTGCGCGTAGAGCTTGTGATGCTCGCCGTCCAGCTCCCATACCGAGTAGCCTCCTTGTTCGTAGACCTTGACCCCGGGCGGTGATTTCCGGTGTGGGCAGAGGCGCGTGTGTTTCGCGTAGGCGCGCTCGTCGCACGAGTAACGGAAGCACCAGCGACAGACGTACAACCTGTCTGTATCCTTACTCACTAGATCCTCCGGGTATATGGACTGGTACCAGGTCTGGAAAAGGAGATCACCGAGTACGACGTGCTTCACGTTACGTTCGGTCGTGGAGGCCGGCTCAGCACGCGTCGCGGGATCGCTGGCGGCCATTGAAGACGGGCAAATCCAGCACGAGGAGGAGCGCTAGGCTTCAGAATTGCGATTGAGGAGGGGCGGAGGGCTTGGGATGTTGGGTGAAATTATTAGGAAGGCCCCTTCTATGCCGGTGAGGGTGTGATGTGAATGTGTTTCCGTGTGTTGGCCATTGGAATGGGTGCTGGAGAGTACTGAGGTGTCGAAAGTACTCCCAGATCGGGATCGCTATGGATTGATTAACCTGAACAGGATTCGATTCCTATTGAACCAACACACGTGGTTGGATTTTCTGTCTTGACAGTTCGTTTCGTTTTCCCTTTTGTTCAAAATATTCGTCTGCACATGTCTCGGACTCTATACAGATTCTTGTAGTGGTATTGGCATATAGAAGATAGTTAATGTAGAATGTACTGTACTAATTCGCAGCCGCAATGATAAACGGGTCATTTGACGGGCCTCCCCGGGGCCAATCAGCAGACCTGAAAGGCGGGGGATGCTGTGCTTTTGGAACTGGAAAACGAACGGAGCAGTTTCTCCAGAATGGTTGGTTGATTGCTTGAACTGATTTTACTTTGACGACTGTGTAAGAACTGAGGAAGCCTGGAGAGGGCCCGGCCAACCTTGAAGTGTTCCCCCCCTCCTCCCTCATTGGAGACTGTCTGATCGACCTTCTTCATATCCCACTTTCAACCAACCTTGAACCACTATACCCCCTCTCCCTCTGTCTCCATTATCTCGTTGCCTGAACCCTGCTTGCCTTCTTACATCGCTCGTATTCAGTTCACACTGTACCGGCTTTCTCATATGACGACGGATGATTGCTCTCTTTCAGGGAACCTCGTGGGTTTGAACTGGAGGCAAATCCGAGCTGCCTAGTAGATTACATACGACGACTAACGTTAACTTGACCTACTACAACCACCACCACTGCTACTACTAATCACCCGCTCATAGGCAGCAGCAATAGTGACGACTATAGGCTTTCTGTGCCTTGTGCTTCTTCTGCCTCCACGACTTTCTCTCCTTATCACTTTTCCAAGGTCTCTATTTCTTTGTCTACTAATAGTTACTCTGTCATTTCTCGACATCGGCATTTTGCATCGACCCGCTCGCTGCCTATCCCGTTCGGTCCACCCCTCCTCGGATATCGGTATCGCCCCTTTGCGACCTACAATCTACAACCGTCTATCGTCTTTGACTTAAATCTGTTCTTCTACCGGCTTTGGGACGGAGTTTCTCTCTCCCGCGACCGCCCACTAGCTCCAGAGATGTTGAAGCCTTTCC